ATGTTAATCAATATTTACTCGTGTGCGTGCACGGTATATGTGACTGCACTTCCTGGCCGAGGGCTGATCTTTCCTCTTATAGGTTTGGGAGTGATATCACTCACTTGCTCTGAATGTATCTACCCTTTCCCTACGACATACACGTACTCCTGATCTGACACATGCAGGCTTTTTTATACTCAGAACATACGCGCTTTGGAACAAAAATCGAATTGTACTCGTAGCCATGCTGTCCACCCTTTTTGTGAGTTCCATGCCACCTTGATCTCCACTCTCGTGGTTGCAACGTTTACGAATCACTCAGGCTATCATTGTATCATTCATCGGCATTTGGTTTACCGCTGTTGCCACCTCTGATGGTTTGTACTTTCACCTTCCTCCACTAATGTTCGCATATATTGACTCCACTTTCACAGTCATAACTAGCACGATCCCAGGTACTGTAGGCTGCTACCGGAGCTCGAGCAGTGTCTATTTCTTCGTATCATTCCTTCTCTTATTTGTGCTTGCAGTGGGTATGTCGCTGAACATACGTTACATACACGTGCTGACCAACGCACTCCCCAGTATTGGTCTTTCTCACACTCATACCCATCATACAGAGCTGGCAGATAGGAAAGGGCCGCCTGCATTCCATCCTGGTGAAGCATAACATGTTTTACTATGCATGCAGTTTGTGTGAGTCAAAGTTTAAATATTTCTCCGCGCTTATCGATGCTGATTATTGTTCCGAAAGTCCTCTCAGCCGTGAACGTCCTCACTCCAGTTCTGTCTTCCTATATTGTAAGTAGACACTACCCTTCAATGTGATTGAGTTGTTGATGTTCCGCACACCAGTCCATAAACTTCTTCGAACGGTATGCACTTCCCACTTCCGTTGAGAATTCCTACATACAACACCTCCCAAAACCTATAGTTTCCAGGCCCTTATCCTCGCGATCCTCGCCACGCGCATGCACCTCGATCTCTGGCGTAACAACTGGCACGCGCACGAATCTGATGCCCTTGAATGTATTTCCATGTCCGACAGCTTACCTGCAGACCCTACGGTGTAACGTCTTATCCTGCAGCTTGTTCGGCGTGTTGGTGAAGTGTGGTTCAGACTCTTTTGGACTCTCTTAGACTACGAGATGACTGGTCCGGGTGCTGTGGTCGCGTTTTGGACGTCCTTCAATTTTTAGAATGAGTTTTGTCAGGAACAAAGGATCCGACGCAAGGAGATAAATCGAAATCTGAAGGGTATGGTAGTACGCAGTGACAGTGTCCTTCATAGACTCTATCGGGAGTTTGTTTCAACCCTCAGTCTGAACTGCCACCCAGAATTCCAGCACGCACTCTTCCTTCGATATTACGTCGATCTCGTGGTCATTTGGATACTGTAAGCAATGATGGCAGGGATGGGGATATACTGACACACACGATGTTGCACTGCAATTTCTCATGTCAATCACCTCAATTTCTTCCCTGCAGTGGCATTTGACTACGTCTCCCTTCTTTTAGTCAATGGTACGTACGAAATTGCAAACAATTTTTTTATCAACTACGCTCGCTCTCCCAGCACAGCTCCAGGAAATATTATGAGCCGCCAATCGTACTTGATGATCTCGCGAAAGAAAGTGCTCGGTCTACCCCTGCACGTATGAGCTTGCACTCGACACTTGTAAATTGACCACCTTTGTAATTCCGAATTAATAGGAACGGCTGTTCAGCTCACCTTCCCATTTAAAAACGCTACGATTTCATATGTTTGTGATGATGGAGTATTCAAGTTCTGCCACGACTTCGACATGTTTATTAAATCCACTGGATACATCAAGGATTCATTGATCATCTGAGGATAACCACTAGTAAAATCTTCGCCGCGGGCATACCTATATCGTTAGATTAAACCGGGCACTAAGTGGTGGTGCGGGCAATACGAAAACAGTCGATACTTGCTTGTTCTGTCACTCCAACATCGCTTAACTGGTTTTCCCTCGTGGAGTCAATTCCATTGGGAGAACCTTGAAGCTTGAAGTCTCTCTCCCTCCCATCAACTAGTGCCTGAACAACTTAAATCGGATCGGTAAAATAACAGACAAGCGAAGATTATTTATTTTCACATCTCTAAGACAGTAAATTCTCGCCGTGGCTTTATCCAGGGACAAGGTTTCCGTCGCATACATAGGGGGCATATACAATGCTACACCTGGCCAAAATCACGTGAAGACCTTGTGCGGTTTCTGGCCAGACGTGTATCACGAAATCATCCCAGATGGTTGTCAGACCAACTCTCACTGCTTCGTACACTCCCCCAGCGGAGGTACAAGCCAATGGACACTTATTTATACATTTAACTCGATCATATTTGACATCGCGTAATACTTGAAGCTTGAAGTCCTGTCGACATTAGGCCAGCCTACAGTGACAATAAGAGAATTTTTCTTCAAAAAAATCACGAAATCGTACAAGGATGCTCCATTGTCGGCATGAAGCCTTGGGCTGCCACTGTAAGCCATCGCTCTTGATCATCATCAGAAAAGTGTCTCACCCCGAAGTGCATTTTGCAGCCAGCCATGAATAGAAAACAACTCACCCACACGTGCGATAAGGTATATAAGGTCGCGAACAGCTCACTAAAAATAAGTTGTAAACCCACTCACCCCTCAATACCTCACTTGCCACCAGACCTGCCTATGGCTCATAGTTTGCTGTGTGCCACAAGCCACCAGGCCTACAGCGGCCGGTCTTTGCCTGGTTCCAAGAGGTCTTGATCACGGAAGTCTGTCCATTCCTGTCAAAGCACGGCCTCGCCGGGCCCCGTGATCCTCGCCGGTGCTCGGGAGGACCGGCCGTGCATTTGTTTTCGGCATCGCTGCAAGCAAACGCAACGACGGTCCTATCAGGCTTCACCATCGTTACTGGCACCCAGCGCACTGGCACAGCATAGGCAACAGTATGCGCAAATACTGCTGAGCGCTGAGCCCTTCTGAACGGCATTACCCCAAAATTTTCAAGGTTCGCCGAGGGTGAATATCGTATCAGATTGTCAAAGTATAACCACGAACTTACTATGCGCCACGGCTTATAGGAGATAAGCAGGCCGTAATGAGGCCTGTGCCGAAGGGTGAGATCTCGAGACTTGAAGGATCTAAGTCTGCTATTTCAGCGCAAGCCCGGCTCTATCAAGCTTCATTATCCTCGCTGGCAACTCCATGTTGCAATTGCAATATGGGACTGCCCAGCGGGGGTAGGCGGAGGAAGTGAGCATCGTGGCAAAGTACACGGTATGCACAACTATGTTATTACATAAACTGCTGCTTCTTAGAAGTGGGCATCAATTGTCATATCGTATCATATCGTACGACCGATAACTTATCACATGCGTGGCACAGCCTACAGCGCATAATTAAGCACTACGAGGACCAGCCTTGCACCGATGAGTCGACGAGCACCTTCGATTTTCGGAGGTCATTGCCGTGTAGCATGAACTAGAGTGTAGATAGTCAAAATCGCGCGAAGGAACAAGGACTAGTTAACGCACAGCTGCGTCGAATAGCTTCGTGATATTCTGTGGTGAACGACGATCAGTGAATAAAGACTGTTTAAAACCTTGGTGCATCAACGTACCCCTGGAAGAATGAGCAGAGAGTGATGACACTGAAGTTAAAATAGATTCAGCCTCACATTGTCTGGCAGAAGGTCATCGAACCCAGCTTCTCCGACGATAGTGAGACATATATGCAGAGGGCGATGTCAACAGTGACGTGGAACTTCCATTGCAGAGAAGGCTGCGCATCTCACCCAGTTTTCGTGGCACCTCTTTCGATAGTGTTGCGTAGCTTCGACGTGTATATGGATTATCGACGAGCTCCCGTATCTCATTTTCCAAACAATAGCAGCCTAAACTCGCCTTTCAAAAGCCGACGAAATTCAAATCGAAATCCACACGGGTTGGAAGAACATGAATGGGTATACGCATTAAGAGGCGAGGTCACCGCGAGTCAAATTGAAGTGAATGCCGGACACTGAAAGTGAGGGGGCCGAGAACGAACCGAACCAGGGCCCAGCACTTGGGTATGTATCAAAGCGTACGTGTCTCGGAGCATTCGCAGGAACGGAGAAGAGGAAAAGACACGGGTGTTCTCCTAATTAGCACGTCCACATACGGGTACCTGCTCTGAATGGACAGTACTGGATTCAAGGGCTCGTGCTGCTGAAGTTGTCGTGTGTAGACATGGATTGGAAATAAGCGCACAGCGTTTTTTGCGTGCCACCGCATCTGTAAAGCATCTCATCGTTCGGTGTATTGATGACAGCAGAAAACAAAATTTTCAGTCACAGGCAATACCCGAAGTAAAAAAATTACTTACACGGAATCGCGCAATACACCTCCAAGATGAGTCTTGCGAAAAAGTTGCTACCGCTCGGTCGTCGTGTCACAGTTCAAATGAACGGAAGTAGAATATGCCTCCGCTACCTCCAAGTAATTTACCGAGACAGCGGATTTACTCTAATTAGCACGGAAACGCGTGGCTACTTACTTACTTCGTGGTGGCGGCAGTACCATGTCGGTGCTGTTACTGGTTCACAAACCCTGACCAAGAGAATCAACCTCATTGTCAGGGCCGCCGCGGGCTCATTAAGTCAATAGTCTGGAACCTGAATCCACGCTGTTCGGTGTCAGCCGGAGAGTAATGATAGGCATCATGCATAATTGATGCGTGGCATGGACCTGGTTGCAAAGGATAATGGATTTCCCTCAGGCTGGACCGGGCCACTTTGGAGTGCGCAGTGATCAATAAGAAGTTGGAAATGCGTATGATCAAATTTTGACCGTGGCCGCATCCAGTGGAACTTCAGTGTGCGAATTCATTTCGCAAAATTCCGTGAATATCGTTCACTGAGGAATGATATCGTCGATCAGGATTCAGTGTGACCAGCTCGTCGTTGTGGACGGCGACCGAAACCCCACGCGCACGTCTCTCTGACTGTCTCGATTTTTCCCCCTTGTGTTCTCAAGACCTTATACATTAATAGGCTCCGACGATTTGGTCCCGCTTACTTGAACTTCCCAGAAGGTCTGCCAGCTCAGCACGCAAAATGTCAAGCACTAGTACTTTTTCACCATTATTTACATCTTCTTTTCCTGGTACTCCTACTGGTGCAATCAATGGTAGTAGTACGAACAGTACTACTAGTGCCGAACCCAGCTTAACTTCGAGTGCTGCCTTGTATCGTGAGTCTAATTGATTGTTATGGTGACATGGCTCTCACACTGCTTTTCCGATGTTTCCCTCACTCCTCTACCTTCAACTTTCTACTCGTGTGTTTGTGGTACACTAACTCGTTCCTGTGGTTCCGGGATTTCTTCGCTTGTGTTATTCAACTGCCCGAACCGGTTCGGTTACCTGTGCATGAAATCATATTACATCCCCATAATACCAAAATGATCAATTCGCCTTTCACAGTCTACACCTTTCTTGGTTCGTGTCTCTCGTTTCTTGCTTTCACTACCATTGACGATTCGCAATGTCTACCTCCACTCAAAATCCTATGGCTTCTACATCTATGTCATATACGGCGTTAATAGCTACACTCGTCCTTCTGCTTGCTGTCTCATCCGCCATTGTTATTCGCAGCCTGATACTTCGACGACGTCACCAACGCATTGTAGAAGAAGCTATTCGAGCAGGGACATGGCTCCCTCACCAATCGTATGATCCCAGGGGGAGTCGTAGACGAAGAGATGTTGGAAAGAAGCCGAAGTTGTGGGAAGCATGGCTCCGCAGTGGTGATGAGGAGGGGCCAGCTGATATCAAATGTGCTTGGGATGACATAATGGTACGCTTCTCTCGTGCAGAACGTCCCGCAAGTGCTGTCGCTAACTTCATGTCACAGCCTGTCTACGCCGCTCATATTAAGTCTTCTCCAAGTCCACGGTCCTCGAGGCCACAGTCACCGCAAACCCGATCTGACGCGTCGTCTCGCACGATGCGCTTCCTACGATCTTACCGTACACCATTTTCACCAGCACCGGCGACGTCATCTCCGATTGTTCCTTCTACGCCTGTATCTTCATCTCCGTCAACATCGGCACCTTATTCCGTAAGCGTAGCTGTCCTCATTGCAATGCCCACACAATGTCACACACGGGAGGCGGATGGACCACCTGTCATTGAGCTTGGGGTCGTCGATGTCCCTCTCCGAGACATGAGCCCAAGCGGTGACCAGCCATGACAGGCACCTACGGTGGTTCTGGGCTATGTATGTATACTTATTGTTTCTAGCGCTCTTATTTAATACAGCATGCTACATCGACATGTATAGATGTTATGTACTTTTACCTGCCACCTCATCGCCATGCATTCTGTCGAAGGGCAGACACACCATCACTTACGTAGGCGTTGATCGGTCTGTTCGTGCCTAATATAGCTGTGTTGATCAAATTGGCGCGTTGATGCTTTCTGGGATGGTCGCCGTCTTGTGCTTGCAGTAATCAAATGGTGTAGTCGAGAACGGGATAGTTCATCAATCCCCTTTCTTGGTGACTGCACTGTTTATCTTATCGATGTACTTACATGCTTTGGCCTCGAGGATAGGGTGCGATGATGTTGATGGGATGTCAATGTCAATTGAAATGATCTGCGCCTCGTGTCTGTCCGATAAATTGAATGATGTCATTTCATTTTTGGGAATGAACTGGCTCACTGAGTGTCAGACTCGCCCGCGGTGAGTTCTCCACCAATCAATTTCAAATGTTGCTCAGGAGTACCCAGTCATAACCTATTTATGCTATCATCAAAGGAAACAGGAGACCGTCTGCGGCCAGCTCTAGATCTGCCCTTGCTGATATCGAGTTTCGCCTGAATAAAACACGGAACCTGACAGGAAGTTACGTAACAGGCTTGCGCTTGAACGACAAACTTGCGATAAACTCAGCATCGCAAGTTTGTCGCTCCAGCGCAAGCCTGACCCCGGGAATACGAGTAATGCTCACTTACGCGTACGTACGGTGTAGACTGTGGCACATGTAGTAAGTGATCGGTTGGATGATGACAACACACGACGCTTACCTCCGAAAACAGTACTAGCACTCGCTGGACAGCTTTTTATTGCGACATGCATTCCAATACTACCAGCGAGGGTAATGAAGGACGGGACCGGTCCGGCTTACGCTGACAGTAGATCAACTACTATCTGCACGTCACAGCGCAGTCCCGGTGTTCACACTTACTCATTCCCTGCAAGGAGCCTGTGGCACGCAACATCGAGATCCTTGCCATCGTGCCCAGCTCCTCCACCTACCCTCGCTGGGATATTGGGTCGAGACATGTCTTCCCATTGTTCCAGCGAGGGTAATGAAGGACTGGACTGGGCTTGCGATGACACACGCAGACAGTGGATCTAAATGTCGACCAGAAGCAGGAGTATTGCGCAGAGGTAGCTGCGCATGCTATCCTTCCGTACCACTACGCCCGATACCGATGGCAACGATAGTAATGCCTGACAGGACTGTCATTGCGTTCATTTTCGAGCCGATTGCCGGGGAAGAGAGGTATGAGGTGAGTAAGTTTGCAACTGATGTTTTTCGTGAGATGTTCGTGACCTTATATACCTTTGGCAGGTGTGGACATCGACTACACACGATCCACATCAACTGCGTGGGCGTATTGTTTTCTATTCATTGTTTGACTGCAAGCGTTTGTTACACATCAGTGTGAGACATTCACTAACAATGATGTGGCTAAACCACACTGCTGATTGCGCAAAATTCGCAGAGGTTTCATATCGACAATAGAGCATCATCCTTGTTACAGCGATTTCATGATAAGGCTGGTCGGGAATCGCACAATATCTCGATCCCGCAAGACTTTGTCAAGGCGTCAACTTAGTCTCGGTCATCGATAACAATAGATTAGAAAAATTAAGACAATACTAGAACATTAGATACTGGATATCGAAAAGCTAGCTTCAAAGCAAACGGCGAACGCGACGAACGGGAGTGGCAGCATCAAATTGACAAGGGCAGATACGGGTCTCGGCGAGTTTCAAGCAAGGGTGTAGAAAAAATAAAATAAAACTTGCGACGCACCAAAAAACCAGTCTTTGCACCCACCAAATAGTATGCGCGGTGTGTGCAGAAAAATGGCCGAAATTTGTGTAGACAAGAAAGCCGTCGTGCCAATGACCAGGTTGCTAGCCCAGTAAGCCGGGAGCATGGGGCTGAGTAACACTGAACTTGCATCACCACGAGGAGGAATCAGCATTGTCAATTGTGAAGACATTAGTCTAGTGGTACACGTGTTAGTACAATATTGTCAATTCGTATTCGATAGTCGTGCGCCACGAGAGGTGACAGACGAACGTCGTTGCAACTCGGTGACTAATATGAGCGTCAAGTGACTCCAAACGAGTGGACTCCGAGCTTGCCATTCTGAGTCACTTCGCGCGCTCAGATATCGTAACCAGCGAGACCCTTTTGTTTGTCGAGTTCCACAAGTAAACAAGAGCGGAAGGGAACAAAATCAAGTCCGGTCCTATCGATATGAAAGTAGCTGTAGAGAATCGGAGCTTTCGCATTGTAACGTTCAAGGCCAGGCCGAATATGGCAAATCATCTTGGCTAGCTTTCCGAAATTGTGAGTTGCGTCAGCCAATCAAAATCGTTTATCGTTCTCCCACTCCGCACCTGTAGTTCCTCTACAATTTAGAACACGATCGCAGGCACACGCAGCAATACCCAGCGCTTCAAAAGACTCGTGGTCGGATGTCGTAATACCGGCAACACATTCAATGGTGGTTGCAGGCTCTTCAAATGGTCAAGCTTGAAGCTTGATGCTGCAGGTCCGAATCGTGTCACTGTGCTGGTATACTGGCCCCATAATGTAGTGAACCAAATTAGGCTACGTTCGACCTGGTACTCAATCACTATTAGGGTTCATAATGATGAAACTTGGATGAAACACTTGTTATTTACTTACAAGGTGAGCACAATAACAGGGTGTCCATGCCATCTCCCGGTGGCAGGTGCACCGCAGTCGCACTTCAGACAGCCATATGACTGCGTCATCTATCAAACTTACCTTGATGCAAGCAGCAACTTGACTCAACTGTGCCAAGAATTTTGTGGGTAATGAAACGCAGCAAGAGAGGTCAAGTAACACACGAGCCATGTGTTTATGATATGATTGGGGAGCTGATTCTGATCAATGTAGTGCGATAGTATCAATGTAACCAATTGATGGCATGCTGATTTTTAGTGCCGCGTTGCTTTGAATTCTGGACTGCGTGCGCAGGTCGAATATCACATGCTGTATTCTGATGGAACAACACCACGAGGCATGAAAGAAACACCGTGAGAACGAGATGGATATTTCGGCATGTTGCAATTCAATGGACCACGGTCTCGACACCGGCAAGTTCCTTGTCCTCTGCACGTCTACATGATTGGAGTTCACGTCCATCCTCTGCGAGATACGCCTCATATCTGGTGATTCCCTCTTCACTCTGTCTCTTTCACCATTGACTCGACAGTCACTCTGCACCTCGTTCCATTGACATCACCTTTACCTCGAGCACAACACCTCCCTCTCGTCGAAGCCCCACATTCAGATGCTCACCGCAATGGTCCGCTCTTGTAACCTATGTCATTTTTCAGTCTCAAGCCACACTAATGTCAATAGCGATGTCCTTGGTCAAAGTATGGTCCCGTCACCTTCAAGGCTTCTCTACACTATGGACCTGTCAGCCTATTCATTCAGTGCCACCTATGATGGATATTCCTCTTCCGCAGGGTCCTGTTTGTTAGCTCTCAGCTGTGAGTGAATTCGGTAGCGGTCACAGCTTCCTCAATACTTCGTTCGTCAATCATCCTTCGCCGAACGAGAATACTATTACTCGCCTTATTCTTTCTTATTCCTCGCTGCAGGCAATGTCATCCTTCCCCCATGGCACTGTCAGCTCAATTGGACCAGTCGTATGTAATCATTCGTTTTTTCTTTGCGCGCCGTTTCCAGCGATATAGACTTTTTTTGCCTGTCATTACCTCACAAAATATACTCAATTCTACATTCTGCCTTTGCGTGTTAACTGAGTAGTACGATACAAGTCCAGGAGCAGCAATCACTCTGAGACTCGCATGTCCCTCTCAATGTTGGTAGACCACTTTCGCCGCGAACTGTTCATGCTATTCTCTACTTTAGCACAGATTCTTCTGCTAGTTCTGGGCCATTCTCTAGAGCATGGATTCTTCTGCTCACTCGGTCGGTGATCTCTATTCCCAGCGCTTATGCGATCATACCAGCGTCTATCGTGCCGAACATCCACCGATAATATGGAAACACACTTGCAGCGTGACCCGAACCCTAGGCCTCATCTCCCACTCAGCCGAACTCTATCTGCAGTCCCTATATCATTACCCCCATCTTCCCTTCCCATTCATCCCGTCCACCACTCTACTCATCCTCGATCTTCGTCATTTTGCTCCATCGCAACATCATGCCCGGTAGCTCAGAAAGCCAATATATCAGACTTGAAGGCGAGTCTCTCCATATTATCTTCGCATCTGTTTCATGATCCTCACACTCTATCTACAGTCATCAGCGGAAAGAATCTTCGAGTCCCCTCCTGGCGCATTCCCGCTGGCATTTACGTGTCCATCAATGTCGACTCGAGGAGACACTGGAGATCGGCCCTCGGTGTTCTATCATCTGATGAATCTGTAGCGTGGGGGGATTCTGTAACTCTGTAAAGTCCACGAGATCTTCTGACGTGATGCGAGAACTGATGATTGGTTTATAGACCATCAAATGTCTCGCCTGCATTGTCGATAGAGATCAGGGCATCCTATGAGCTTGGTCGAATGCTAGGCGGTGGAGAGGTAATCGGGGAACTTGAAATGTCGTGGGATGAGCTACTCGGTCATGGAGATCACTCATTTGGTGAGTGATTCGCTTCTCATTCATGGACATATGTTAATATCTCGTAGATCTATCGTTCCCAGCCGTGCGCAGTGTCCAACCTTCCATCACACTGAGGGTTGCTGTTGTACATGCTTGGGACGACCGAAACGGCACGCTATTTGATGTAAGCGATCCCGGACTCTGTCCTGTTAGCTTTGCTGACGGAACACAAACTATAGTCCCTCGTAGACTGCAAGATTGCTCGAGACACAGATGCGGGCCACGCACAATTGGCCACATACGTGACGAGTAAGACAGTCTCTCACCTGGACGACGCTATACCATTTTCAGTTGGTTCTGGACCAGTGTCCGGTCAGCCATCCAGACCATGCAACGGCTCTCACCAACCTCGCGTGGGCCCGCATCTTAGGCTACATCCGAAATGATGTTGTAGACATCGATGCCACCACTTCCCTCTTCCGCGACGCCCTTGCATTGCGTCCGCAGCACCATCCCGGTCATCCCTTATCCCTATATAATCTCACCGAATCGCTGAATTGGCGCCACTCCAGGAAAAGTACTGCCGCAGACATCTGCGAAGCGGTCCAACTCTATCATGAGCTACTGCCCCTCTGTCCAGAGGGCACGTACCTTCGTAGATTCGCGGGAGGGAAAAATGGTGTTGATTATGTGATCAGCAGATGCAACGAACTTCCAACAGACGGATCCGATGAAGGCATCCACCTTCGAAGAGTCGTCCTCGAGCTCTGTCCTCTGGGCCATGGACTTCGTCCCAAAACCCTCGACAAGCTTGCACAGGCAGTTGTAGCACGTTTTAATCAGCACGGCAGCATCGATGATCTTGACACGAGCATACAGCTTCGTCGTGAAACCGTGTCTCTGTCCCGAGGGACGTGCTGGCCGTGATACCTACCTGAACAACTTGGCCTGTTCACTTGTATCCCGCTTTGAGCACCAAGGCAATCCTAATGATCTCGATGAGGCCATCTTTATACATGAAGAAGCGCTGCACTTGCGCCCTGTTGGGCACGAATTTCATTATTCGTCATTGGGCAACCTAGGGGGCGCCCTCGTCGACCGTTTCAACAAACGCGGCAATATTGAAGACATGACCCGAGCTATCAGCCTCCATCGCGAGTCCCCGACGTTGTGCCCACCTGGGCATCCACGTCGTTACAATACACTTCACAACCTTGCCCTCGCGCTCAAAAACAGATATAACAAATCGGAAGTCAGCGAGGATCTCAACGAAGCTATTGATCAGTATCGTGAATCCCTTTGGTTACAACGGCTTGACAATCCGAGGCGTTATTTAACTCTTTGCAGTTTGAGCTCGGTGCTCTGCTCTCGTTTCACGCAAGCTCAGAAGAATGAAGATGTTGAGGAGGCCATTGCTCTTTGCCAAGAATCATTGGCGGCTCTGTCTTCACTGCACCCGGGCATGCATTTCAGCTACACGTGGCTGCATGAGGCCTATTTGTCTCGTTACCGGATTCTACACGACCCTCCTGATTTGTCGCTTGCAATGGAGAACTTCAGACTCGCATCAAGACATTCTACTCAAGGGTTCCCACTACGCATTATTGGCGCATTTTATTGGACCGTTGCAGCGGAGCAGCATGGTCATGGATCCGCGCTGGAAGCCTACTCGACATTTTTTGAGCTTCTGGGTGCTCATTTGGCCACACGGTCTTCGGCAACTTCACGGCGCGAAGCTGCCGCTGCCTTCAATTACGCCAGAACGCTCCCAGCAGATGCAGCACCATGTGCCATCCGCTGTGACAATCTACCGCATGCAGTTGAACTTGTGGAGCAGGGCCGTGGCCAGCAATGGTCGCTGGCCTCCCGACTCAGGACGCCAGTTGAAGACCTTGAGTCAGCGAATCCGGCGCTGGCACACAATTATTTGGAGCTGAGCAAACTCGTTTCCAGTGCGGCCCAGAGTTCTGCACCCACCACTGACAGAGCTGCTGCCGATCAGGCAGCAACAGAGTATAGGAGAATTACAAGGCAATGGGAGGCTGCCGTAGCTAAGATACGTGATCTTCGGGGGTTCTCGCGGTTCCTGCTCCCACCTTTGTATGCAGACCTGCAAGCGGCAGCCCGCCAGGGCCCGGTCATCATGCTCATTGCGAGTGAATATTCGTGCAACGCCATCATCGTCCCGACATCAGGAGATCCCCATCATGTTCCCTTGCCATCTGTCCGTCTCGCAGATCTGACCAATCTCAAGGACCGCTTCGCCAGGGCAATACGACACGCATCTACCATGGGCCCCAAATTGCCGCGAAACGATCTAATAGTCCTCTTGCGGACAGTATGGGACGAGATAATGCTACCCATCGTCAACGTCCTCCGGCATAATCTGAAACTGAAATACTGTCGAACCTGGCTGTGTCCAACTGCAGCTTTCACATCTATTCCTCTCCACGCAGCTCACCCGTTTCGAACAAACCCAGATGGCTCTAGGGAGCAATGCCTGGAGGATCTCTACATCTGCTCTTACACCCCGACACTTTCGGATCTAGTCAGATCTAGACAGACGATGAAGAAGCGTGTCACTCCATCCTTCGTGACAATCGGACAGGGTCAACCGGGTGCAGGGAAAGGCAAGGCGCTCTTGGCCGTCGACAGCGAGCTCGAGCTTGTCCATGAGCTCGTCCCTGCGACGGCCAAACGCACTACTATTTCTGGCGATGCAACCACACGAGCAGGTACGCTCGAAGCTCTGCAGCAGAACATCTGGGTGCACCTAGCTTGTCACGGAAAGCAGGACCCAAAGCAGGTTACAATTCGCATTTCATCATGAGAGACGAAGATCTGACGCTGCTCGATATAATGGAGAGAGACATTCCGCACGCCGAGTTCGCATTCTTATCAGCATGTCATACCGCCGTCGGGGATGAGGAGACTCCCGACGAAGCGATTCACCTCGCAGCTGGTCTTCAGTTTTCAGGGTTCAAGAGCGTCATTGGCACGCTGTGGCAGGTCGACGACTCTGTCGCAAAACATGTCGTCAAAGCCTTCTATGAGAATATGTTCCCAGATTTGAAGGATGGAGGTGTGATGGACTGTGCGAAGGCGGCTTGGGCACTGAACCGTGCTCCGCACGCCGTGACGACGACAGTGCCGCTGGAGCAGAGGATGGTTTTCGTTCATATTGGTGTGTAGTTCTGTCGGATTCCTATCGCCTGGTACATATTTACACATTGTTGATCTGCGATCTGTTGTGAAAATAAATTTGATATCATACTCTTGCGCTCCAGCTATCTTATTTTTGTATACTTTGTCGTTTTTTCGTCGAATAGAATGCTCACTAAAGTTCTTGTGTACTCGACTCTTTTACAGCCTCGTCTTCTGCTTGACTCACCTTGCGTCCTTAGTGGGAAATTAATTAGACTAGTCAAGCCTACTAGTCCTATCAGGTATCCTTCAAGTTTCCATCGTCGAGCCTTTCTGCACCGTGGAATCTTAAGTGAGAGAATGGGAGCCACCGGTATGGTAGCTGGCAGGAAACAGAAAACAGGCGTTATTATAGATGATGTTCATACCATCGAAGCGCTTGTCTTCGTGTTGGCGGCGTGCGCAGCTGATGCGCCTCCCACAGCTTGTACAATCAAGCAAATGATGTCGTAGGAGGAGGTCAGATATGAGGAATTAATACCACTTGAATGTATGATACTAAAAAGCAACAAAAAACGATGGTATCTGGCATCGTCAACAGTCGAAAATCATACCAGTTGAGATACTGTACAACACCAGGAACTAGGGAAGAATGTGAGATAGATGCAAACCGCACAAACAACACAACTCACAAGGATACGTATACACTCTGCAGGGACGTAGTGGTATGGGCCAACACTAATCTGTGCTGTTGACGCACTAACCTGGATGAGGAGAGGCACAAATAGGAAGGTGGTGCCGAGGGAATAGTCAGGGCGTGGAATTCAAACATTTTGTTGCAGAAGAAAACACACAGTCTGATATGTTGGCTAGCCTTCGTCACAACTATTAACGCGGATCTATGAAGGTTGAAGTCAAACAGTTTATCGAATGACACTCACCTATCTCGTGCCAAAGTCATGTGAGCGTCTTGTGCAGTAAGGTAACATCCTTGATTCGATAGCGGAATAGGCGCAATAAAACATCTGCGGCATGGAATGCAAGGGGAAGGAATATCCACGGCGATGCATACAACGTGTGGTAGCATATAGTGACAAATAATGCCACATATGTCAGTATTCACACATCCGATGTCATAATTGCTTGCAGTGTCCAAATGACCACGAGTCTTGCCCTGGTCGACGTGATATTGAAGGGACAGTTTAGCAGTTATATGTGGTGGTTCAGACTGAGAGCTGAAACAGACTCCCGATAGTCTATGAAGGACGAGAAAGTGACAACGCGGCGCTGCCAGTACTATCATACCATCCAGATTTCGGTTTATCTCCTGCGTCGAATTCTTTATCCTGACAAAAAATCATTCCGAAAAGTTATGGTCGCAACCAAGCCACCCAGATCAGTCATCTTGCAGTCTAAAAAGGCAGAATTCACTCCACCAACAACGTCAAATAAGCCACATGATAAGACGTTATACCATACAGTCTGCAGGTGACATGTCGGACATCGAAATATATGAGGACATTAGAGTCGTACACGTGCTGGTCACTATGCCAAAGACTGAGATGCATGCGCGTGGCCAGGATCGCAAGGACAAGGACCTGCAAACTATAGGGTTTTCGGGGTATCGTCAGCGGGAATTCTCAACAGAGGTTGGAAGTGCATATTGTTCGAGGACGGAGAAGACTGGGTGTGAGGGATATCAACAATTCAATCATACTGAAGGGTATGGGGGTTTACTCGCAACATAGGAAAACAGCACTGGCGTGAGGACATTCACGGCTAAGAGAACTTTCGGAACAATAATCATCATCGATGAGCACTGAAACACGTCTAAACCCTGACTCACATAGACTACATGCATAGTAGAACATATTATGCTTCACCAGGATAGCGCGTAGAGGGCTCCTGGCTGTCCACCAGCTCTATATGACACGTGCGAGTGTTCCAAAGCGCATATGTTCTGAGCACAAAAAAGGCTGAATGAATTAGATAAAGAGTACGTGTATGTGGGAGGGGAAGGAAGATACATTCGAAGGAAGTGAGTGACATCACTCCAAAACCTGTGAGAGGAAATATCAGCCCTCACCCAGGAAGTGCAGTCACATATACCGTGCACGTACATGAGTAAATATTGATTGACATCCGGCATTTCTGGCGAATTCATACAGTAAGCATCATTCATCGGTGGGTAAGTCCGATGCACGCTCACATACATTGGGGTTCTCGTTCGGAGCGAAGATCACTGAGGTATAACATGTCAGTTCATTATCGTAGGGATGTATGCTCATCGCTTGGAATGAATGCACTATATAGGTCCGTGGCAATGAAGAAAAAGGAGACATATCGTGCAATGATATAGAGGGCTTTTAGCTTAATGCAGTGTGACCGAAGTAGGAATGTCCACTTTGAACAGCATAGTATTAGTATCCAAAGCGAGGCGTATAGTGGAACAAGTGTATGACTTACCTCTTCATGAAGTAAACTAATGTAATCATTGTCGTCGTCGACCGAATCCTCCGAGAACGACGCTGATGAAACCGAAGGCAAGGCACGCCGTGACGAGTAGATGATGCGAGCGCAAGGGCAGAAAGGCAGGCACGAGGAGGATGTGACGTCGGGACCGAAAGCTGCACAGTATCAATGTTTTATTCTAATATTCTCGATAAGAAATCACTTACAGTATAAAGCCTAGCGCCCACGCACACGAGCGTCTCAGTTCTGTTCCCAGAGACTGAGACGTGAGTACCTATACCATTAGCTATTCGTATACAAACGCTGACGCGACGTAGTACTCTTACCTGCTAGGTACACGTTTTGTCAATATAGAGTTCTGTTCCCAGAGACTGAGACTACTCTTACCTGCTAGGTCATATCAGCGTGTTTACCTTCTCCAGAATCATAGGTCTAGATAAACAGGTTTAATGGCAAACGGGAATAGATTCGGACAAGCCTACCCAAAATGTAGCCAGCGTCACTGAGTTGTTGAGTTAGAACGAGGGGTTAATGTATTGCCCTCGTATTATGGAAGCGACATACCGCTAAGTAATGCAGATTCCAGGCAGTTGCAACTTGGACATCCTCAGCCGAAGGATCCATCTGTTTTCTCGAGTGGCAAAGAAATAGGTTTCGCGCACACATCATACAACATTTCTTATCTCTTATGAACGAGCCTGAGAACATATAGAGTACTCAATTTAGAACTAGGGATCCTATATAATTAGATTTGATCGACACAAAGTTGATTTGGACGCTCACATGTGCCCATTGCGTCGGTCCTTAATTCCTGTTTTCGAAGTTTGAAACACCATCAGTCCTCGGAACACACAGTCACCTTAGAAGGGACTCACGTTTATGTTGAGAGCCGATGAACCTGAGGACGGAAAGGCCGAGAGAGGAAGAGCCGAAGGGGAGAATGGGACTACGGCCGATGAATGAGGCAGCTCGAGGTGCGAGCGCCACCAAACGGAGAATCCAGACGACGTGTCAACGTCGGCAATCTTTTTCGTTCTTTTAGTATAGCATCAGCAAATCTACACTTCGCATCAGTGAACCGGTGAAGGTTTGAGAAAGGTATATATGACGATATATAGTACATAATCACAAGAACCAGCGTAATTTTGCTATCGAGCATTATATTTGACCTTGTAGAGGAAAGGACATTTACTGATTGTGTTACAAAGGATTATGATTGGGAAAAGGTCCTGGTGTCACTCACATTCAAACTTGGACGAATTTGCGTCGTGTTTCCACTATTAACACCAGCTTCTTGAAATGGTTGACTGTCGTCTAGTATGTGCCAATCTTCCATGTAAGAACGAGCGCCTGTATCTTCTAGACGACGCGTATGTGCTCATCGAGCGAGCGAGCCTGAAATTGCGTCCTGCTTCAGCTAGTATCAACTCCTTATTGGAACGGTTGATTTCCCTCAGGTGTGTGTCAATTTTTCATGCAAGAATGAAAGCTGGTATCCTTCGCCACATATCAAAGCCATCTGCGAAAGAAGTGTACGTCGGAAGCGGCCGGGTTGATCAAAGCCTGTATAAACGTGAGTCCCTCCAAGGTGGCTGTGTTTTTCAAGGACTGATGGTGTTTCAAACTTCAAAAACAGGACTCAAGGACCGACACAATGGGCACATGCGAGCGTCCAACTCAACTTTGTGTCGATCAAATCTAATCATATATAGGACTAGGTCTAACTAACGGCCATGTTCTCAGGCTCATTCACAGAGATAAGAAAAGCTGTATCATGTATGCGCGAAACCTATTTCTTTGCCACTCGAACGAGAGCAGATGGAGCCTTCGGCTGATGATATCCAAGTCGCAATGGCCTGGAATTTGCATTACTTGGCAGTACGTCGTGATACGAGGGCAAGATATTAACAGATACTCATCATGCCCGACCACCAGTATACATGCGGTGCGTGCGGTCTGAGCTGCTTCTCCCTCCCTTCGTTCTAACTTAACAACTCAGTTACGCTGGTTACAATTTGGGTGGGCTTGTCCCAATCCATTCCCATCTGCCGTTGATCCTGTTTATACAGACCTATGATTACATTAGTTCACTTCAGGAAGAGGTAAGTCATGCACTTGTCCCGCTATGCGCCTCGCTTCGAGTACTGATACCATGCTGTTCAAAGTGGACATTCCTACTTCGATCGCGTTGGACTAAGGTCAAAGCTCTTTATATCATTGCACGATACGTCCCCTTTTCCCTCGTCGCTGCGGACCTATATAGTGCGTTGATTTCAAGCAGCACTACACATCCCAATGATAATAAACTGACATGTTGTCCTTCAGTGATCTTTGCCCCAAACAAGGATGCTGATGCTGTGAGCGTGCAGCGGACTTGCCCGCTGGTGAATGACGCTGACTGCGTGAATTCGCCAGAAATGCTGGATGTTGATGAATATTTACTCATGTGCGTGCACGGTATATGTTGCCTGCGCTTCCTAGCCGAGCTCTGCTCTTTCCTCTGACAGGTCTTGGGGTGGTATCACTCACTTTCTCTGAATGTATCTCCCTTTCCCCTCCGACATGCTCGTTGTCTGATTCATTCAGGTATTTTTATACTCAGAACATACGCGCTTTGGAACAAAAATCGAATTGTACTCGTAGCCATGCTGTCCGCCCTCTTTGTGAGTCACATGCTACCTCGGCCACACCTTGTAATGTTCATTGTTGATGGATCACTCAGGCTATCACTGTATCATTCATCGGCTTTTGGTTTGCCACTTCTGATGGTTTGTACTCTCACCTTCGCCCACTACTATTCGCCCATGTTCACTCCACTTTCACAGCCACGACTAGCACGATCTCAGGAACCGTAGGCTGCTCCTGGAACATGCGCATTATTTATTTCTCCATGCCATTTCTTCCCTCGTTTGTATTTGCACTAGGTATGTCTCCCGGAACTGGAAACATACATTACAGACATGCACTGACCAGCGCTCTCCCCAGGATTGTTCTTCCTCGCACTCATACGGGTCATACAGAGCTGGCGGACAGCCAGGGGCCCTCTGGGCGCCATCCTGGTGCAGCACAATATGTTTTACTACGCATGCAGTTTGTGTGAGTCAGGGTTTGGATATGTTTCTGTGCTTATCAGTGATGATTGTTGTTCCGAAAGTTCTCTCAGCCATGAACGTCCTCACGCCAGTGCTGTTTTCCTATGTTGTGAGTGAACCATATACCCTTCAATATGATTACACCGTTAATGTTTAGCACGCCCAGACCGCAAACTTCCTCGAACGGTATGCACTTCCAACTTCCGTTGCGAATTTCTACTTACAACACCCCCCAAAACCCTATAGTTTTCAGGTCTTTATCCTTGCAATACTCGCCACGCGCATGCACCTCCATCTCTGGCATAACTACTGGCACGCGCACCATCCCGACGCCCTCGTATGTATTTCCATGTCCGACATGTTACCTGCAGACCGTACAGTGTAACGTCTTATCTGTGACTTATTCGGCGTTGTTGGTGGTCCGTGCATGTAGTATCTTTTGGACTCTTTTAAACTACAAGATGCTATCATTTATAGAATGATTGCCATAAGCCGAGAACTTCTGAAAGATCATATGCAAGGGAACTGGAGGAAATTGCTAAGAAACACCGTGAAAACGGGATGCCGCTTGATGTGCTGGCACGTTGCAATTCGATGGACCACGGTCTCGACACCCAAGTTCGAATTCCTTGTGCCTCTGCTACGGTTCTCTCTATGGAGTCCGAATATTCAGATGATCATTCATCTTTTCGTACTTAAGGATGCAGTTCAAGGGGGACGTAGCGCACGAGGATTTACACTTGGTAAAGTAGCTATCCGCATCACCTCAATCATTCACATGATTGGAGTCCACGTCCATCTCCTACGAGATACGCCTCATATCTGGCGATTCCCTCTTCATCCTGTTTTCTTCACCGTTGACTCAACAGTCACTCTGCATCCTGTTCCGTTGACATCACCTTTACTTCGAGCACAACCCCTCCCTCTCGTCGAAGCCCCACATTCAGGTGCTCAACGCAATAGTTCGCTCCTGTAACCTATGCAATTTTTCAGCCTCAAGTCGCGCTAATGTCAATAACCATGTCCTTGGCCAAAGTATGGTCCCGTCATCTTCAAGGCTTCCCTACACTATGGACCTGCCAGGCTATCCATGCAATGCCATTTCCAATGGATATTTCTCTCCTGCCGGGTTCACTTTGATATCTCTCGGTGGTGAGCGAATCCGGTAGCGGTCACAGCTTCTTCAATACGTTGTTCGTCAATCATCCTTCACTGAACGAGAACACAGTTGGTTGCATTCTCACCTTATTCTATCTTATTCCTCGCGAGTCGCTGCAGGCAAGATCATCCTTCCCCCATGGCACTGTCAGCTCAATTGGACCAGTCGTATGTAATCATTCGTCTTTTATTTGCGTGCCGTTTTCAGCAATATAGACATTCTTTTGCCTTTGTGTCCTAACTGAGTAGTACGATACAAGTCCAGGAGCAGCAATCACTCCGAGACTCGCATGTCCCTTTCAACGTTGGCAGGCCACTTTCGCCTCAAACTGTTCATGTCATTCTCTACTTCAACACAGATTCTTCTGCTAATCCTGGCCGGTGATCTCCATTCCCAGCGCTTGTGCGATCATGCCAGCGTCTATCGTGCCGAACATCCACTGACAATATGAAAATACACGTGCAGCATGACCTGAACCTTAGGCCTCAATTTCCCATTGGGCAGAACTCTATCTACAGTCCCATATCATTAACCTCATCTTCCCTTTCCATTCATCCCGTCCACCACTCTACCCATCCTCGATCCCCATAATTTTGCTCCGTCCCAACATCATGCCTCGTCGCTCAAAACGCCGATATATCAGACTTGAAGGCGAGCTCCTCCACATTACCTTCGTATCAGTGTCATGATCCTCAAGCTCTATCTACAGTCATCAGCGGAAAGAATCTTCAAGTCGCGTCCTACCGCATTCCCGCTGGCATTTACGTGTCAATCAATGTCGACTCGAGGAGACGTTGGAAATCGGCCATCAGTGTCCTATCGTCTGATGAATCTGTAGTGTGGGGGGATATTGTAATTCTGTAAAGTCCATGGTGATCTTCTGACGTGATACGAGAACTGATCATTGATTTATAGACCATCAAATGTTTCTCCTGCATTGTCAATAGAGATCAGGGCTTCATATGAGCTTGGTCGAATGCTAGGGGGTGGAGAGGTAATCGGGGAACTTCAAATGTCGTGGGATGAGGTACTTGATCATGGAGATCACCCATTTGGTGACTGATTCGCTTCTCATTCATGCACATATGTTAACATCTCGTAGATCTATCGTTCCCAGTCATGCGCGGTGTCCAACCTTCCATCACACTGAAGGTTGCTGTTGTACATGCTTGGGACGATCAAAACGGCACACTGTTTGATGTGAGCAACCCCGGACTCTGTCCTGTTAGCTTTGCTGATGGAACGCCAACTATAGTCCCTCGTAGACTGTAAAATTGCTCGAGACACAGATGCTGCCCGCGTACGACTTGCCAGATACGTGAGACGCAAGAGGGTCTCTTACTTGAACGGTGCTGTAGAGCATTTTCAGTTGGTTCTGAACCAGTGTCCGGTCGGCCATCCAGACCGCGCAACAGCTCTCACCAACCTCGCGTGGGTTTGCCTTCAAGGCTATATGCGAAATGAATTTCAAGATATCGATACTATCACTTCCCTCTTCCGCGACGCCCTTGCATTGCGTCCGCAGCACCATCCCGATCATCCCTTATCCCTATATAATCTCACCGAATCGCTGAATTGGCGCCACTCCAGGAAAAGTACTGCCGCAGACATCTGCGAAACGGTCCAACTCTATCATGAGCTACTGCCCCTCTGTCCAGAGGGCACGTACCTTCGTAGATTCGCGGGAGGGAAAAATGGTGTTGATTATGTGATCGACGGATGCAGTCGTCTTCCAACAGACGCATCCGATGAAGGCATCCACCTTCGAAGAGTCGTGCTCGAGCTCTGTCCTCTGGGCCATCGACTTCGTCCCAGAACTCTCGACGAGCTTGCACGAGCAGTTAAAGCACGGTTTGATGAGCACGGCGGCATCGATGATCTTGACACGAGCATACAGCTTGGTCGTGAAGCCGTGTCTCTGTGTCCCGAGGGACACGCTGACCGTGGTGCCTACCTCAACAACTTGGCCTTTTCACTCAGGTCCCGCTTTAGGAATCAAGGCAATCCTAATGACCTCGACGAGGCCATCTCTTTATATGAAGCAGCGCTGCACCTGCGCCCTGTTGGTCACAAATCTCGAGATTTCTCATTGGACAACCTAGGGGGCGCCCTCGCCGACCGTTTCAACAAACGGGGCGACATCGAAGACATGACCCAAGCCATCATCCTCCGTCGCGAGGCCCTGACGTTGCGCCCACTTGGGCATCCACGTCGTGACACCGCCCTTAACAACCTTGCCCTCGTGCTCCAAACTAGATATGACAAATCGCAAGTCAGCGAGGATCTGAACGAGGCCATTGATCGGTATCGAGAATCCCTTCGGTTAAGGCGGCTCGACCATCCAACACGCCATAGAATTCTTTACAGTTTGAGCTTGGCGCTCTGCTCTCGTTTCACGCAAGCTCAGAAAAATGAAGATGTTGAGGAGGCCATTGCTCTTTGTCAAGAATCGTTGGCGGCTCTGTCTTCACTGCACCCGGACAGGTACTTCAGCTACATGTGGCTGCAGGAGGCCCATTCGTCTCGTCACCAGATTTTACATGATCCTGCTGATTTATCGCTTGCAATGGAGAACTTCAGACTCGCATCAAGACATTCTACTCAAGGGTTCCCAGAACGCATCATTGGCGCATTTAATTGGACCGTTGCAGCGGAGCAGCATGGTCATGGATCCGCGCTAGAAGCCTACTCGACATTTTTCGAGCTTCTGGATGCTCATCTAGCCACACGGTCTTCGGCAACTTCACGACGCGAAGCTGCCGCTGCCTTCCATTACGCCAGAAGACTCCCAGCAAATGCAGCATCATGTGCCATCCGCTGTGACGATCTACCACATGCAGTTGAACTTGTGGAGCAGGGCCGTGGCCAGCAATGGTCGCTGGCATCCCGACTCAGGACTCCGGTTGAAGCCCTTGAGTCAGCGAATCCGGCACTGGTGCACAATTATTTGGAGCTGAGCATACTCGTTTCCAGCGCAACCCAGAGTTCTGCACCCATCACTGACAGAGCTGCTGGTGATCGGGCAGTAATGGAGTACAGGAGACTTACAAGGCAATGGGAAGCTGCGGTTGCTGAAATACGTGATCTTCCGGCGTTTTCGCGGTTCCTACTCCCACCTTTGTATGCAGACCTACAAGCGGCAGCGCGCCAGGGCCCGGTCATCATCCTCATTGCGAGTGAATACTCGTGCAACGCCATCATCGTCCGGACATCAGGAGATCCCCATCATGTTCCCTTGCCATCTGTCCGTCTCGCAGATCTGACCAATCTCAAGGACCGCTTCGCCAGGGCAATACGACAGGCATCTACCATGAGCCCCAAATTGCCGCGAAACGATCTAATAGTCCTCTTGCGGACAGTTTGGGACGAGATAATGCTACCCATCGTCAACGTCCTCCGGCATGATCTGAAACTAAAATACTGTCGAATCTGGCTGTGTCCAACTGCAGCCTTCACATCTATTCCTCTCCACGCAGCTCACCCGTTTCGAACCAATCCAGATGGCTCTAGGGAGCAATGCCTGGAGGATCTCTACATCTGCTCTTACACCCCGACACTTTCGGCTCTGGTAAGATCCAGACAGACGATGAAGAAGCGTGTCACTCCATCCTTCGTGACAATCGGACAGGGTCAACCGGGTGCAGGGAAAGGCAAGGCGCTCAAGGCCGTCGACAGCGAGCTCGAGCTTGTCCGTAAGCTCGTCCCTGCGACGGCCAAGCGTACTACTATTTCTGGAGACGCAGCCACACGAGCAGGTGCGCTCGAAGCTCTGCAGCAGAACACCTGGGTGCACCTAGCTTGTCATGGCAAGCAGGACCCTAAGCAGCCTTACAATTCACATTTCGTCATGAAAGACGAAGATCTGACGCTGCTCGATATCATGGAGATAGATATTCCGCACGCCGAGTTTGCTTTCTTATCAGCGTGTCATACCGCCGTCGGGGATGAGGAAACACCCGACGAAGTAATTCACCTCGCAGCCGGTCTTCAGTTTTCAGGGTTCAAGAGCGTCATTGGGACGCTGTGGCAGGTCGACGACTCTGTCGCAAAACACGTCGTCAAAGCCTTCTATGAGAATATGTTCAAAGATTTGAAGGATGGAGGTGCGATGGATTGTACGAAGGCAGCCTGGGCACTGAACCGTGCCACACACGCTGTGAAGACGACAGTGCCGCTGGAGCAAAGGATGGTTTTCGTTCATATTGGTGTGTAGTTCTACTGCGTCGTATTCCTGTCGTGTGGTATATATTCACAAGTTGTTGATCTGCGATCTTCTTTCTTACTGTTGTAAAAAACGAGCCCGATATATACTTGCACTTTAGCTATACCCTATCTCGTTTTCGTATGCTCTGTTATATTGTTGTCGATTAGAATGTTCCAAAATTCTTGTGTACTCGACTCGTTTGCAGCCTTCTACTTGAGTACTTGGATGGTGGGATTTGGGCCAGTCAAGCCTACCAGTCATACTAGATCCTTCAAGTTTCAAGCGTTAAGTTCTGCTCCGCGAAAGCTCGATTAATCACAATCAACATCAACGTCTTATAAACAGGGTCTGCCCATAAGGGACTGGTAATATCATTCAGAGGGAGCTCCGACGCAGGTGAGGTGCTCTTCCCAGGCATAATTAATTCTTCAGTGAGAGAATGGGAGTCAGGAAGCAGAAAACAGAAAACAGGCGTTATTATAACAGTGCCAGAGATGTCCGACAATATCGCACACGCTCGTAAGTCGAGTAGATACTTGGAAGCAGTGTACAGGAAGGTTCGAATCGGAGCTTCAACATTTCGCGTTAACGGTCAGCGTCAGCAAATTGAAATCGTTTATCGTTCTGCCAAGGATGGTTTCTCCGCACCTGTACTAGTTCTTCCACAATTTAGAACACGATCGCAAGCACGCGCAGCAATACTCAGCGCTCAGCGCTCCAAAAGACCAGTGCTCGAATGCCGTATTATCTGCAACACATTCAATGGTGGTTGCAGGTTCTCCAAATGGTCAAGTTTGAAGTTTACTACTTCCTGTAAGTCCTTGGAGTCCTATCAGTGTGCTGACTGACCCCATAATGTAGTGAACCAAATTAGGTTACGTTGAACTTCACTATTAGGGTTCATAATGATGAAAGATGAACCACTTGTTATTTACTTACAAGGTGAGCACAATAACAGGGTGTCCATGTCATCTCCCAGTGGCAGGTGCACCGCAGTCGCATTTCAGACAACAATGTGGCTGCGTCATCTGTCAAACTTACCATGTACAGCAACTTGACTCGACCGTGCCAAGAATGTGAAACGCAGCAAGAGAGGTCAAGTAACACACGAGCCACATGTTTATATGGTTGGGGAGCTATATAACGGTCAATGGTCATATAGTGCGATCAATGTAACCAATGGCATCGTGATTTTTAACGAAGTTATGCTGCGGATCTGTTTCGATATTGGCGCTCACTGGTGCACGGCTAATTATGGACGGTATTCATTGCAAATTCATTACCGTGTTCCTTTCTGGACTGCGTTGCGCAGGTTGAATGTCATATGCTGTAACAGCACCACGAGGCATGAGTCGAGTCAGAACCTGTCTTGAGTCTACAGTTATGGTACCGATACTGCGGTGCCGCCGTGCTACTGCATCCCGCACCACAAAACATGATGACATCTACTATGCAGTATAAAACAGTGAGTGTTGAACGTGATTCACTCATTCACTCATACAAGTTTCCCCAGCCCTTTATAAAAGAGAAAATACAAGCATCATATTTCGCCAGAGCTCTATAATCATCTTCGCTATTACTACCGAAAATGTTCAAATCATTATTCACATCATCAAGCACGTCTTCCAACGCATCCTCAGAAGCTCTGCTCAAGTCACAAAAGGACAAGAAGCAGACTTCCCCTGGGCAGTCACAGCCAAAGGATTATGAAGCGGCCTTTGGAGCGCTTCAAGCGTCGTATGGGTTTGGGTCGTTTCCGGGCTCTACCCGCTCCAGTAAATAGGAGTCTTTGAGCGGATGGTGAGTTCGTGTAGATTTGATTTATGATGACGAGACTGATGATCCGGAAGGGTATGAGTGGATAAAATGATCAAATTTCCGAGGTTTCTTCTGGGAATAGGGTATACAAGGGCGAGTCGGGGAAGGTGGAGATGAGTCGTGAAATAACGCCAAGGGCTACAACAGTTACGGTGGATCGTGGTGTGTTCTCCTTTATGATAATCCAGTCCTGCTACGTAAACCATAAACGTTAAACCACTGCATATATTAATGTAAAACAGTAATGGGGATAAGATGATTGCCAAACAAAAATTGGTATCACTTGAAATCAAGCGTACATACAGAACTCGTGCAGCGTGAGCAATACAAGGGGAGAATCAGAAGTGTGTTAAATTAAATGCCAAAGGATTGTATGAAAATGGGTTAGAAAGACAGTGCGACCTTATGACATACAACTTAAAGGTAATACCTACCTTTAATACTTCTAATTGAATGGCTGTCATCGTCTAGCCGCTCGCTTTCGTTCTCGTCCCTCGTCTTCCACGTCCATGGCGTCCCCCAAGTTGTTTTGGGTTTGTGTATGATTGGCGCTAAGGATGGACGTGCGTGAGCTCCGCGTTCTGCGTCTGGTATTTCCAGAGGCGGATGTGATTGTTGATGAGACGCTACTCCCTTGTGATGATGACTCGGTAGCCCCCGAAACAGCGGTGGAATCGAGCATCATCATGACAGCATGACGGCGCTTAGCGCCAGCAGTATAGTCGGCAAAAGCAGGGTCACCTGTAACAGATGTTGCGGCTGTGACAGGAGGGGTGCGAAATATATTCTCTGAAGGTGTAAGGCATGCTGTAATAGGTGGGCTGATGGGAAATGACTCGGGATTGTCTTTCTTGGCGCCTAAGGCACGAGATTTGGATGAACGTTGGCTGGCATATGGGTGGCTTGATTGGCGCGCGGGTGGCACGGCGGATGGCGTAGGTGATGCTTGTCTATTGGGAACGTTTGATATGTTAACCGTGAAAGGAGAATGCGGAGTCAAAGGCGCTGGAACAGCCTACGAAAAGGGTAATATATCAGCCAATGCGCAAAAAAGGATGAGAAAGCATACAGTTTGCTGTTCCAGACGAGAAGAAGAGGGACCTGGCTGTACAGTGTCCCTCGTAGTTTCCCCGGGAAAAACATGACGGGGAGTGGAATCTTTATTTATGTTGGGGCGGCTTGCAGGGACGCTCCCTCTTACTCTTTCTTTTTCCTTTTCACGGTCTTCATCTTCATCCTCCTCTTCTTCGCGAGCCTTTACAGCTTCCATCCTAGCCTCAATCCAGTCCATGATTCGCCCGATCGTCATCACGTCTCCGGCTGGGTTGCTTGACCCAGATAATGCTACACCGCCTGTAGAAACGCCCTGTTGGATCATCGACATGAGATCTTGGCAGGCTGTTGCATATCCAGCGTTATAAGCGCGTTTAGACGCATGTCTTGAAGATCGGTAAAGAGTTGTTATACTGAGCGCAGCAGCTTGTTATGTGTGCTGAACGTGAGTAACGTGGATGGAGCCTGGATAAACGCTCCTCACCTTTAAAATTGTTCAGTAAGTCCTTCTCAGCCTTCTCCAGGTTTGCTGCTGGTAGAGACTTTGCCAAACCGTTCAGATCTAGTGATGAATCCATGGCCATGGTGGTGTCGACAAGGAAGTGCCAGGTACTCTGTGTGCGTGCAATTCGGAAATCAGTTATGTATTACGTAAGTTGATTTCAATCGCGTTGTTGTGCCGGTTTTGGCCTCTGAGAAGGAATTCGCGGTTTGAGAGGAGCAAAATCGACGTGGAAGCTCTTGGTCAGTTGAGTGTGGAAGTCGAAGTGCTGCACGGCTTACACCGGGCCACCCGGTAAACTAGTTTGTGACGGGAGTCACGCACGCCACATCACATATTAAGGGGAATTGATTGCTCCGAGTCAAACGCAATGATGAGCATGGATGAAGAGGATGACTTTTGTGAGTCGTGAAATCATGGAGTTTGACTTTACTTAATCTCATAATAGACGACGGGAGTCTGGACTCAGAGTCAGAATACACCGACTCCGAATCTGACAATGAAGAAGAGGAATCGGAAGTTGAAGATATTGAATTGCCCCAGGGTGTTCAGGCAGAGATTGATACTGATTTCAAGTGCATTCATCTCCCTTGAGACAATTTTATGTATCTGAATATCAGGCACAGCCGACTAGTAAGCAACATTCGCATGACGGACGATGTGTCAAATACAGCGATGCTCCATCGAGAATGGGACTTCAATATCGCTCAGCAAGACGCGGAGTTTCGTGACGACCTTCGCGAAGCATCCGGGATCGGAAAGAAAAAGGGCAAGAAGGTGCGTGGTCTGTGATGGCCCTTTTGGGCACGCTCGCAACTACTGCTTCGCATCGTGTTTTCAGCGTGGTCGTCACCTAGGACCCGTGCTCTCCCATCAAGTACGCGCCCTCATAGGTGAAGGAAACCAAGCGTATGTCGATGGAAACATTCCGGAAGCCATACGGATGATGCAGGAAGTCATCCGCATCGAGCCTCGAGCGGCGTCTGCGTGGTCCGTCATCGCTCAATGTTATGAAGATTCCAATGAACCGAAGAAGGCGCTGCAACTGCGCATCATGGCGGCGCATCTCCGGCATGATGCAGATGAATGGGAGAGACTGGCCGCACAATCAAGGTGGGGTCGTGATCGGCTTTCATCGAAGAGAACCTTGACCGATGGCGCGTTTCCCCAGGGATTTGGGCTACAACCAACAAGCTATATATTGCTACAGCAAGGTATACAGTCTTGACCCGACAAATGTCGATGCACTTTGGGACCGTGCTTCCTTGGCAAAGGAGATAAATGACCTTCGCGCCGTACGCTCCATTGTTTTCTATTCACGCGTCTTCAATATGTCAACCTGATGTAGGCTCGACACTCTCTTCTTGCAATTCTGAAACGGTTCCCCCACGACATGACGGTTCTGGCAGAGCTTCGGCCGATACTCATTGAAGTATCAGACCTTCCCCTCTGTGCCTCTCTTTACCAGACTGCCTTGGAACACTATCAGACCGTTCAGCCCCTGGGTCCTGCACAACCCATTGACCCCTCCCTGATGGACCAACCGTTACCAAACCAAACATTTGGCTTCATCGACATTCTAGTTCTTGCCGACCTGTATAACACGATGGCAGAAAGCGACAATGCAATCCAAATCGTAAGGAAAGGTTGCAGATGGCTGCAAGGCCGTGCAGGCCAACGCTTCTGGGATGGATGTGCAGACGATCGAGAATACGATCTACCTCCCGAAGATCAGGGCAATATGAATACAGAGCGAAGCGGTGACATTCAGCCTGGTCACTATCCTCTCGACATCAACGCCCGACACCGACTCGCTATCGCGCGGATCAAGCTCGGAGATGTCGAGGAGGGCAAGGTGCGCGTTTGTCATACAGTCAAAACTTATGGATGTGTGACTCGTCACATAGATGCACGCGTCTATTGTTCTCGCACAAGATGTTCTCGATTACGCTGCTCTTTTTGGAGAGATCGCTGACTCGTATTTTGAGCGCGAGATGTATGCTGACGCCAGGCCGATATATGAAATTCTTGGCTCAGAACCTGCAGTACATTTCCTTTCCTCCTCATATCTGTCTCCATACTGATCTTCTGTGAAGACCAGTAGCCTGTATGTACTGCTTCAGGTGGCTGTATGTCGTAGGATGCTTGGTGACCTGCAAGAGGCCGCGGAGGTCTATAAGCAAGGTGAGATACTCCTCAACAAGTCACGTTAAAGTCTAATCTTCCGCTAGTCATTGATGCAGACCAAACCAATAATGACGCGAAGATGAAACTTGCCGAGCTCTACGAAATCATGGACGAACCCCGGAAGGCCCTGGAACTCGTTTACCAAGGTTAGGATATCTCTTACTCTTCAAGCTGAAGAATCAAATATCTATTTTTCCATAGTCATCGACTCCCGCAAACGACGCGCCCACCAGCCTGAAGCCACTCCCACACCCAGTGCCACTCAACCTCAAGGCGCCTCTCTCTTCGAAGAGAAACGCACTAAAGCTAAAATTCCAGCTCCCGGTAAAAGCAGACTCACCTTGGCCGAGCTCAAAGCGCTCGAAGAGCAACGTGAGCGAGAGGTGAGCTTAGGGTATTCCCGTGTTGAGGATCTATGGCCGCGTATGCGGCATGGAGATGCAGAGGCGGAGAGGGAGTGGATGATGGAGGCTGAGAAACTTGTGGAGATGTTTAGGGAGACGAGGAATTTGTTTGTGACGACTAGGGTGATTGGATGGGTGTTCATGCGCCTGTGCTGAAGTGACTGATCGATTTTGTTAGGACTACGACTTTAAGGGCATGTTCCCCAAGAGAAGAATACAACGAAGGGACGATACAGAAGAGGATAGGATGGTGTCACGGCTCGAGCTCAATGGTCGGTGATGGCAGACGTTAGTTGACTCTACGTTATTTTGACCTCACACTCCTGCAGAACGCGACAGGCATACCCGTAAAGCCAAAGATGACGGCCAAGCATCCGATAAGGTTGATTCGTTCCGCGGCGTTACATTTTCAAACTGGCTGAGGATTTTCATGCAAGTCAGTTTTCGCAGTTGATATTCGTCTGACTCTTTAATCGTTTTGACTTCATAGTATACCTTTGTTCTTACCAAACGGGGAGACTACGATCAGGGTGAAGAAGTCCTGCGACATATCCTTTTATCGAACGCCTATCGAGATTCCAATTCACAGGACACGATTCGAATAACGATCATCAGTGAGTGTCTTATTTCTCTCGATTAGACATCGTAACACGTCTTTCAGCGTGCGCCATCCATGCCAGCAAGTTCTCTATCGCGGTAGAACAGTGTCGCAAAATGATCAACACCCACCAGTTCAACAACGAAGCTTTCCGTCTTCTGCTGGTTTCGTTAGCTAGCGGACATCACCCTACTGATCCGTTCGTTTCTTCCACGTTGCAAAAGCATACACTTCGTGAACTCCGACTTCACGATGCTGCAGTCAAGACTCCAGAGCTCATGAAATGGAATGCTATCGGGCGCAAGTACAATCTGTCGTCGTCGGGCAAGGAAGAGCCGTCGAAAGCGGAGGAAGAAGTGGATGATGAAGCGGAGATCCCTGGTCCAGTGGAGAACAACGCGACAGAAAAAACAGCGATCCGAATGCCTACGAAGCATAATCCAATTATCGTCACTCTTTATGGTCAGATGTCTCTCGCTGCCAAAAGCTACCAGAGCGCCATATGCAAGTTAGTATCCCCTTTCCAGGAGTTCCTAATAACCGTTCTTTACAGTCTATCTGCTGCATGCATACGATTATTGCCCTGAAGATCCTGTTGTTTGCCTATCTCTGGCCATCGCTTCTCTTGGTCGAGCTTTGCAGCGGCAGTCTGACAATAGACACCACACGATAGCACAAGTAAGAATTTTGTGCTCCTCATCGACTCCGTAGCTTACTTTTGACAGGGGATGGCCTTCTTGTCTCAGTATCGAACACTCCGGAAATCGTCCGGTGATGAGGTGCTTGAAGAAGTGGAATACAATTTCGGTCGGGCATTCCATCAGCTTGGTACGAAATTTACCTTCTCATTTGACACCTTTTATCTTATAATCTTTGTCAAGGTCTTCACACGCACGCTGTCTCGCATTATGAGCGTGTTCTTGAGATTGCTGAAAAGCGGGGAAACGAGGTAAGTGGCGCGTCCGCCACGTTTGACTATGGTGGCTGACGTTTATGGCAGTATGCATCCGTCGCAAAAGAGGCCGCGTATAACCTTTCTCTCATCTATGTGACTACTGGTGCCGTACCATTGGCTGATGGACTGTACAGACGATGGTTATCTATTTAACGAATTACAACATCTAATTCATACTATCCTTTATGATGTGTCACACTATTGTTGATTTCATCTGAGACCATCATCCGGGGACACTACCATCAGTTGTTTCCTGATGACGATGTCAGGCGAGTTCAGAATTGTTCCCTCCCAGGCCGACTATTTCTTTTCGTTCTTCTCTCTGTTAGCTTCTTACTCCATGCAACCATGTCAAACGCTAAACCTACGACTTCATCGCTGATTGTGCTAGTGAGCTTCCTGTTTGTGTCTACTTATGAGCGTCAACACTGACAACCCTCCAGCGCGGCTCATCATATAGCAGTGTATCCTCAGATAAAAGTTCGGGCTCATCGGACTTTGACAAATATTCTTCCCCATCCTCGTCAGGACAGACCACTCCTGAAGATGACGAGGATAAGGTATTCCAACTTGACGTGCGGCATATTTCTGCCTCAGAGAGCGAGGCGAAGCTCCGTCCGGTCTTGAGAGGCAGTCTCGCTATGAAGAAGGCCGCAACTGCACTCCATTCCCGGCAGCGCACGTTGTCTGCTGCTGTGAAGACGGTGAGTAGGGCATTTACGGTCTTTAAGAAAAGGGTAAGTCGGTCTTGTCTTTGTTTATCACGCTAAGCTAACCAATTGTTTCCAGAGGTCGGACGAAGAAGAGCCTGTTTTCATTGCTAGTCCATTGCGAGAAAGGTTTGGTAGGAGGATCTCGGTCAAAACCAGACCAGAAGAGGTCAGTACATTAAGAGTGGCATGCATACAGCACTAATGAAGTTCTTGTGGACAGTTCTACAGTCTTCCAAACCGATACTTCTCCGTACACGATTTGCCTATGCAAAAGGTGCGTTCCAGTTATTCGTCGTTATCGAACCTCGCTGACATCCTCAGGCCAATACTATTGGACATAAGGCAGAAAGAAGGATTGCATCCATCTCGGGGCCACCGTCATCGAGCATCAACAAGCCATCCCGTAGATCACGCAACCTTAGTTTCAGTCTTCCTGGATTCGTCGAGGAACTACAGGCCGCTATGCCCTCGTCGCCACCTGTAGCCGCGCAAGTCCCTCTCGCTGACTCCTCTCATGAAGAGCGTGAATCGTCCCAGCGCATTCTCACCAGTATTCTCCGCGGGGTACTGTTTGTTCCCTGGTGCGCAACAGTAGGCGGGGCGCTTCTTCTATTTCCTCAGGAACTCGAGCTTGTGGTATTCCGCCCAGGCTATCTCAAGTCCTTACAAGGTATTCGTCGCTTTGCGCACTGGGCCGACTGTGCATTCCACCATGCCATGATCTTCCTGGCGTTCGTTGTTGCACTCATGTGGTACAAGGCTGCTGTTGGTGTTCCGGTGGCTTGTGGGCTCATGTCCAGGTTCTTGTATGTTTGGACTGGCTTCCAGGTCGACTCGAGCGTCCCGCTGGGTTGGGATGATCAACAAAGCTTGTACTTGTTGGCGAAGGGCACGGTGTTTGAGAACCAGACGGTTCTCATTAAAGGTTGTGAAGGAGAGCCGAGGATTGCGCAGTTGAGAGAGGACTGATGTCACGAGTGCTCATGCAAGGAAGATCAGAATATGATTGCACGGTTCAATTGTACGAAGACCTGCAGGGACGACGATCAGCCATGTTCAAGTTCTTCCCTACACACCTGATGTTTTATAATGCATAGCGGCGAATGATTATCGATTGGGGTCGCAATATTGAACTCAAGACGGTGTATCGTTTTGCCATAATGTGGTGCCAGCCGGCAGCCATAATATGTCAGGACTGCCCGTTACATCGCAAGAACAGCGATATTATATGTACTGATTACGGGCACTCAGTATTCAGCGTGCTCACACGATAATACTGATGCAGGCAGCTAGTTCTGGTCAACAACTTGAAAGTACTTCATGACACGTGGAGAGGGGGAATGATAAGTGACAATCGCGCGATCACGGAGCTCGACTGGAAGGTGGAGACGCTGTTAGAACATCAATTATTATGAAAGATTGAAAATGTACCTAAGTTACACGAACAGTTGAAGTACTGGCGCGCTGGCAGGTGGGGTTTGACGCAGACGTACGAGGTGGTACCGTGCTAGCCTAGGCGTGACGCGTGACGCCGCAGCACCGTAGGTGTGACAGTTGAAGTGATCCCTGCTCTCAAAGGACATAAATTGGAATTAAATTCCACCTCGACCGTGCTCAGCACCATAAACCTCCAGTAAAATGTCGGAGCTCATTCCAATCACTACACCCCTGCGAGAGTTCAAAGGCCATGAAAATCAAATAAATGTAGTCACAGTGTTCCCCAACAAAAAACGCATGGTTACAGGCTCGCATGACAAGACGCTTCGTCTGTGGGACTTGAAGACAGGTATCTTGTTGAAGAAGATGGAAGGGCATCGCGGTCGGGTGTTGAGCTTAGCAGTATCGCGAGATGGGCAATTGATAGCGAGCGGTGATACAGACTCAGTGCTCATCGTCTGGCACGGAGCAACTGGCGAAGCACTCACCCAACCCATTGCAGTTCACTCCAATTGGATCAACTCGCTGGATTTTTCTCCTGACAGAACAGTGCTGGCCATCAGTTGTTCATGGGACAACACGACGAAGCTATGGAACACCAAAACCTGGGAGCAACAGGGAGATCCAATAATGTGTGGTAGAACGGTCAACTGCATACAGTATTCACCGTCTGGAAAACGTCTTGCCGTCGCAACCAACGACAATATCGAAATTTATAATCCAGACACGACGCCGGGACACGTCGCATTCTTCAAGGCCCACACATCATGGAACTTGTTCCTCACGTGGACGCCCAATGGCGCACGCATTCTCACAGGCGGCGATAATCTCGATCCTACCATACGCGAGTGGGATACAACAACCTGGAAACAAGTCGGTGATCCCTGGACTGGTCACACTCGCTACATCCGTTCCATCGCCGTTAATCCTACTGGCACACTCGTTGTATCATCATCTTATGACAACGATGTTCGTCTCTGGCAGCTCTCAGACCGACGAACCATTGCCATCTTCAAGTACTCATCCATCGTTAATTGTGTCACTTTCTCCGTGAATGGCAATTACATCCTCGGCGGAGGTGAGGATGGGGTGGTCTCGGAGTGGGCACTACCCCAGGATATTAGTTCAAAGGCATGTTTTCGTCCTTGACTCGTATACCACGATTCGAGCATGTTTCGTGCAGATCCCAGGCATCACAACAGCCCGCGAGGCATGCATGCATGAGGACTTGTCTACCTCTGAAGAACTATTCACGCAAGATATCAACACCGATCCGAACTACCATGCTTCCTACGCCCATCGCTCAAAGGCATGTTTCCATCCTTGACCCATATATCACAAATTGAGCATATTTCGTGCAGATCCTAGCCGTCACAACTGCCCGCATTGCATGCATAAATGGAGATTTATCTACTGCCGAAGAATTACTCACCCAAGATATCAACACCGATCCGCGCAACCATTCTTCCTACGCCCATCGCTCGTTTGTTATGGCCCGAAGACACAACTGGGACCACGCCTTTCGTGATGCGATCAAGGTGAGTTATACGCGCTGATCAGGGTCTCCTTACAAACGGCTAATTTGACGGTGACAAAGTCTATCAGCATTAAGCCCTCATTGACAGGCTATATCTCCAAGGCCATCGCCCTCTGCGGACAAGGCCATGTCCGGAACGCGAGGGCAGCATTTGATGTTGCATCAATTTACACGGATCAAAATCCACAAACCATTCATTTCCTGCTTTTGATCAAAGTATGTTACATTTGCCTCACATACTGTCCGCTTCATCGCGTATTTCAGGTCATCGCCTTCTTCAATGCAGATCAATATGATGAGGCAAACCTACTCCTTAAAGAACTTGTTTTTGGTTGTCCGAATGCCGATACTCGCGCATGTCATATCGTGGAAGTCAGTATCATGCAGTCACGCTGCGTCATCGACACTAACTCGCGCATCAGGCATATTTACGTGTTCAACTTGGACTCAAAGCCTTGGATGATGCACGCCATGACGAAGCCGCTGACCATTTCACTGCTGCTCTCAACTCTGACGCTTTATCATCGGAATCGGACATTCATGACATTTACGAGGATTTGGTGGTGGTATGTTGATACACGTCCAAAACACTTTCCATAACCAAATCCCTTGTGCAGCTCTTCGGCTGGGATCTCAAATCGTTGTGGCGCACTGCACACCAGAAAAATTGTTATGCACTCCTTCGGGCAGGTAAACTTCAAGATGCCGTGAAATCATACCGATACATGATGGCTTCCAGTGACGAAAATACCAAGGCCCACTACCTTGACTGGTCCGATGGCAAGTGTGGAGTTTGTAATGTTGCGCAGACTACAATCCTCATCCGTATTTCACTTAGTTTTCACGGAAGAATGCAGCGCGCTCTGTATTACTGGCGGAGATGCTGCCCTCGCTGCAGGCAAGTACGACAGGGCTATTGACCTATACTCGGCGACGATCGACCTGGATTCTGCATCCGATGTCGTCTTTGCAAATCGCAGCAAGGCGAGGTCGGAGAAAATGCTATGGGAGGGTGCGCTTCTCGACGCGCAAAAGGTGCGATGGCAACTATGTTTTCGTAGTCCGCGTTGACTTTGACAATGCATAGGTCACCAAACTCAATCCTTCGTCTCACGTTGGACACCAGTTGGCACATACGGCGCTGTGTGGCGCGCAACGTTATGACGAAGCCATCGAGGCATTCACAATCATGTTGTCTAAGTTGGACGATGCTCCTGAAGCGCAGATACGAAGTAAGCCATGGAACCCTGCGTTATGATCTTGAAATGCCTAATTCATTCTGCAGATCTACGTCAGCAGTATGTCTGTCCATCCGAAGCAGAAGACGCTATTCGAAGCGCGGTTTGGATTGAACTCGAAAATGCCCCCCTTCGTCTCCTCAACACCTCTACGGGTCTTTTGTGTGACCGAGCAGCGCAGCTAAACTCTTTCAAAATGAGTCCAGAATACAACGATCTTGTCTCATTTGCAACAAAGGATTCGAACTACCGAATGGAGCGCATCAAAGACGTAGTGGCGACGTACTTCCGCTGCGTCCTGCTATCACATAGATGGGAAGAGACGGAGGTACTGCTGGACGACATTCAGAACAAAGATTTGCGCGAGTTGAATGGACTTCGCGGTATCGCGAAGTTACAGTCATTCTGCAAAGTCGCTCGTGACGCTGGGTATCGCTGGGCATGGATGGACACCTGCTGTATCGACAAGAAGAGCAATACCGAGCTTCAAGAATCGGTCAACTCCATGTTCGTCTGGTACCGCCATTCAGCGCTTACCATCGTCTACTTATGTGATGTCCCTCCTTTATCCCAGCGCGGTGCGCTGGCAAGGAGTGTTTGGAACAAGCGAGGATGGACCTTTCAAGAATTCGTCGCTCCGAAAGTTGTCATCTTTTATCAGAAAGATTGGACATTATATCTTGACGATCGTTCTCCTAACCACAAAGAGTCCCCTGCAATCATGAAGGAGTTGGAGGATGCGATGGGCATAGACGCACGGGCCCTGGTAACTTTCTGTCCAGGGATGAGCGATGCCCGACAGAGACTTCAATGGGCCTCATCTTGCATCACTACATTGCAAGAAGACATCGCGTACTCATTGTTTGGCATCTTCGGTGTCCACCTACCTGTAATTTACGGCGAGAAGACGCAGAACGCGCTTGGGCGACTCCTGCAGGAGATTGTGGCTCGGTCGGGCGACATCACTGTCCTAAACTGGATCGGACAACCTTCTGAGTTCAATAGCTGTCTTCCAGCCCATATTACCTCTTACGCTACTCCTCCATGCACCCTTCCATATTTGTCCGAAGATCAGATTCAGACAACTATCTCTTCGCTGCGAGAAAATCCCGTGGCTGTGGATTTGGCTTCTGGACTTTATGAACGGCTTGATAACACGAGCGCTGCCCGTTTCGCAAACTGCAGACTACACCTGCCTTGCATGGCATTTTGTGTTACAGAAGTCAATATGAGCTACGGTTCATCCCAGGAGATTCGATATGAAGTCAAGGCAGACGGGCTCCGTGGCCTGCTGATCACCACTAAAGAGCCGATTGTTCAATTCTCACAAACAAAGCCCACTCAGCAAACCTTCGTGCTTGTCCGTCCCTGGGATCGGTCTCTCCTCGAACTACCAGACTTTACAGATTTGCAAGACGATTCAGAAAGCGAAGGGGATTATTTTACGCCGCCTTCTTCTCCGTCAGACAACTCACCTAGCCGTTCTCTTGTAAAACAGGAGGTGGATGATTTAGAATTGCGAGCATTGCGGTTACTTGTTCGCCTTGGGCAGCCTTTTGGCGCATTTTTGCTAGCGCGGCAGCGCGGCGGAGAATACAAGAGGGTCGCGTCAGATCGTGATATCATTGCACAGGTCGAAGACGTGGCTTCTGATCGAGACCTGATGAACGTCAGGACGATAGAAATACTGTAGATGTATGTTGTTCCCCAAAGATTAGGTATCTGAGCGATTTGTAAAGTGCATTGGTACATAATCATACTACATGCACATATATTGGACTACCGATAGTTTCCGTGTTTGAGACGAGCCATGGCCAAAGTGCCAAGAAGAGTTAAAATTATGTAAGCAACCAAACAACACGTCAACACGTCAGTCAGTGACGCGTCATCTTCAATTCTTAATTCACCTTCAACTTATACCGCATACAACACGTCACCATCACCAGTTCGGAATCATCAGAGTTCCCTAGATTCATTACGCGCCTCTTACTAGTACTTATCACAAGTCCCCCCTGGTCCCTGACTTGATGCATGAATCAAGTCTTATTAATGTTGCTGCCCCTTAGTGGTGTACTTATCATCACAAGTTCCTTGGTCCCCCCTGGTCCTCCGGGCCACCTCGGATTTTAGGTACCTGATCCGGATGATCGGGCTTTAAGTTACTGCTGTTCCAGGCGCTTCGAAAAGTACGTGATCGCTACTAGAAAACATGCGTCCGGTGGCAACACAGTGACAGTGGGAGTAATGCGCGGCAGGACAGGGCCTGCCCTCTCGGCGACATTTTGCTGCGACGACAACAGTGAGACATTTTTGATAGGAATGATGCGAGAAGTTTGCTCACCTTCCACGGTTCATACAACGCAATTAAGGCCGCTACCCCTTTAAATACAGCCACTGCTAGGACTGTACTACATCTCTCTGGCACTGTTCCGCTTTACCGAGTCATTTTTATATAACACCCTCACGCGAAGTCACATCGTAGTTACTCAATCACATATACCATCCCGCCCTTCCCCTGCTTGCATCACTGCCAATGCGGTAATTCGACGAAGAGAGCCGCGAGAATTGGTTACTGCCCCAAATGTTCCGAAACTTGCGAGGGAAGAGGGACAGCTACTACGAAGGGAGGCGTGACACAGAATATCACCCACGACAAATGGGTGAAATACCAGACAGGGTCATGTTCCGCTTGCAAGTATGTCAGGGAGGCCATCGAGAGTAAGGAGTAAGGAGGAATTGGTATGTTCAACACAAACATCACTATCATTGATTCTACATTAATACACCTGCCTACAGGACATACAGAATATATATTTTTGAAACCAGTCTGGAACTTCGAAGGAGAAGATGTTAGAGGATGGTTTATGGTGGCTCTCCGCCCTGAGGCTATGCGAGACACAGGATCTGGGATTTGAATAAACTGAATGTGTAGCTGTTAACATTGTTTCGCGTCTCCCTCGACAGGATCCCCGCCCGAGTCCGACTTCCTTTTGGCCTACGTTTGCATAGAGTACTGAATCATAACGGTGCTTGAGCCCCCAACTCCCTAATACCTCTTTGAATTGATTTTGCTCTACCTTGTGGTGTGATGTTGGTTGCTCAAGATATGGGTCAGTTATTTAAGTTTTCATGCATCATTCGGCTACTAGACTACGTTATTGGCATGAAATACTGTGCGAGGTGTCTAAGGAATATAATGGACGCTTTGAAAGATGATACTTACATCCCCGCGGTCTACAACCACCAACGCATTCCAATCCGAGTCGATCGCAAGCTCAGGCCACCGTCAGAGATGCTGCGGATGGTACTTACCGATGCTAGTTTGGTGGCCCAAGGTTGCACATCGGCAAGTTATGGGATGCCATTCGCCCGAACGTCAAGCATCGGGCGCTTGAGCATGTTGCAGATTGCATGAGCAACCGTCCTTTTCCACGTGCCTAGGGCGCCTCTCAGGGGATATCCTACAAATGGTAAAGGTAAACGAGAGTGATGCAGAAATGTTTCTTGAAAACGCACCATGCCTTCCAGAACGTTCGCTGGCTGTGAACTGTCGGGAGAGTATCCAATAGGGATTGCATGAGATCCTGCAACAAATGTGTTAGTTTGCGAGACAACCACCCCAGAGTTACTATCGCCCGTACCATAGTCTGTTGGTCCTTGACCAGCTTGCTCCACGCATATCGATCACAAGACAGTTCATGGCAATTCAAACCCTGGAATTTAATCCATTCCTGGACACTAAGGTTGATTTGAATATTAGCGGAAAGGATGTGCCTAGTGGTAGGTGCAGTGGTGAGTCAGGATATGAAAAGACGGGGTTAGGAGAAGAGGTGGGTGGACCAGGTCTTGCCGCGCTTGTATTTCCATGGCATTTGTATGTTTGGCACGATAGATGTGTGATGATAAAAAGCGCTGAGAACAATGGCCGACTTGAGAATGTTAGCGGGAGAGTCTGTACATGCTAAAGAAGTGAGCAATGTCATCAGCGAAAGTAGCACGCCAAGTCTGAAGGGAACATGCGCATCCTGTAAGGCTTGTTGCTCCTGTACTTTTATCGCTGAGTCGTACCATTCACTTGGCGCATAGTAAGGTGAGATGTGTATTTCAGTGTATTTCATGGTAGAAACAATATTTATTAACTGCTGAAAGGACGGGCAACAAAGTGGAAACACCAGCGAGGGATTGCCAGAGCATGTCAGAAGGGATAGCAGAATGCGATGGACGATATTATGAGCAACGAGGAACGTGATTGAGATCTTGTTGAGACTTGGAACAACAGTTAGAATGAGCAAACAAGTCGAGCTTCAAGTCGCCACACACCTATATATACACGCTGCAAAGGTGGTCGGCAATGTGATTTTGTTACGCAAAACCAACACGGACAATTGAGTTTGGAAAAGATTCAGATTGCAAAAAGAGACAATAAAAGTGCCCCTTGCTTTGGAATTCCACGAGGTGCAGCGTCCAGGAGAGGTGATGTAAGTGTTTCAAGAATCAAAACCATTGATATCGGTGGCAATTGCATCACATGAGCAACACGGTCACGGGAGTTGTACTGAAATAGAAAATTGAATTCCTGGCAGGACGTGTTGCTAACCTTGTCCGAGGATGACGCGGGTACTAGGTGGCCACTGGCCCTACACGATCTGCTGGCCTGTTCATCCGGTGCCAATGATTATTACTTAGTAGTGAGTATTTCTCTTCCACAGTACTTGATATTTAAGCCAGCGATCACGTCCTTCACCGAATAAGCACACAATTGGTTGCATCCAAGTTGTCAATCTTTTCTCATTCCTCTGTCCACACAAGATCATTTTCCCACCCGCTATGAGCTCAGTCGGACGAATCATTCGGTTCTCAGCGTGCCGTCTTCAGTGGTTTTAACATTGTTCGCATTACCATACAAAATACACTCGATTCTACATCTCCCCTTGGTGTGCTGACGAGTAGTATGCTACAAGTCCAATCACTCTGAGACTCGCTCGACCTCGGCTAGCCCCTTTCGCTGAAGACTGCTCATGACATTGTCTACTCTAGATTCTTCCGCTAGTCCTGGTAATCTCCATTCCCAGCGCTTAGTGCAATCATACCAGCGTCTATATCGTGCCGAACAGCCTTCGACAATATGGAAATACACGTGTAGCATCACCTGAACCCTCAACCTCCCTCTCAGCTGAACTCTATCCGCATACCATAACCTTACCCCTGTCTGACTTTGTCACTGATTCCGTCCACACCACTCAGCCCATCTTCAATCCTCATCAATTTGCTCTATCGCACCATCATGCCCGGTAGCTCAGAAAGCCGATACATCAGACTTGAAGGCGAGTCCCTCTATATTACCTTCGTATCTGTTTCATCATCCTTACACTCGACCTACAGTTATCAGTGGCAAGAATTTTCAAGTCCCCTCCTGGCGCATTCCTGCTGGCATCTACATATCCGTCAATGTCGACTCTCGGAGACGCTGGAAATCAGCCATCAGTTTCGTATCGTCTGATGAATCTGTAGTGTGGGGGAATTCTGTCACTCTGTAAAGTCCTTAGACATTATCTGACGCGATGCGAGAACTGATCATCGATTCATAGATCATCACACTCTTCACCTACGTTGTCAGTGGAGATCAGGGCGTCCTTGGAGCTTGGTCGAATGCTTGGCAGTGGTGAGGTCGTTGGAAGACTTAGAATGCCATGGAACGAGCTACTCAGTCATCGACATGAGCCATTCGGTGAGTGATTCGCTTCTCGTTCATGCATATATACACTAACATCCTGTAGATATCTCCCTCCCACCCGTGCGCGGTGTCCACCCTTCCCTGAAGCTGAAGGCCACCATTGTACACGCTTGCAACTATCAGGACGACGCACTGTTTGATGTGAGTGTGACGCTGGTATCTGTCCATTAGCTTTTGCTGACAGAACGCAATTGCAGTCCCTCGTAGACTGCAAGATTGCGCGAGACACAGATGCGGGCCATGCACAATTTGTCAAATATGTGAGACGCAAGACAGTCTCTCACCTGAAACGTGCTGTAGAACATTTTCAATCGGTTCTGGACCAGTGTCCGGTCAGCCATCCAGACCATGCAACTGCTCTCACCAACCTCGCGTTGGCCCGCCTTCAAGGCTACATCCAAAATGATGTTCAAGACATCGATGCCACCACTTCCCTGTTCCGCGAGGCCCTTGCATTGCGTCCGCAGCCCCATCCCGATCATCCCTTATCTCTATTCAATCTCGCCCTAGCGCTGACTTGGCGCCACTTCAAGAAAGTTACTGCTGCCGACATATTCGAAGCCGCCCAACTCTATCATGAGCTACTGCCGCTCTGTCCAGAGGGCACTTACCTTCGTAGCATCGCGGCAGGGAATTGTGTTGATTATGTGATCAGCGGATGCAACTATATTCCAATAGACGCATCCGATGAAGGCATCCACCTTCGACGAGTCGTCCTCGAGCTCTGTCCTCTGGGCCATCGACTGCGTCACAGAGCCCTCGACGAGCTTGCACAAGCACTTAACACATGCTTTGATCAGCACGGCAGCATCGATGATCTTGACATGAGCATACAACTTGGTCGTGAAGTCGTGTCTCTGTGCGCCGAGGGACATGCTGGCCGTGATACCTACCTGAACAACTTCGCTGACTCACTCACGTTGCGCTTCCAACACCAAGGCAACCCTGATGACCTCGATGAGGCCATCTCTTTGCACGAAGAAGCACTGCGCCTGCGCCCTGTCGGGCATGAATATCGTAATCACTCATTGGACAACCTAGGGAGCGTCCTCGTCGACCGTTTCAACAAACGCGGCGACATTGATGACATCACCCGAGCTATCAGCCTCCGTCGCGAAGCACTGATGTTGTGCCCACCTGGGCATCCACGTCGTGAAACCACGCTTAACAACCTTGCCCTCGCGCTCAAAACCAGATGTAACGAATCACATGTTAGCGAGGATCTGAACGAGGCCATCGATTTGTATCGCGAATCCCTTCAGTTAAAGCAGCTTGACCATCCAGAGCGCCATAGAAATCTTTTCAATTTGAGCTCGGCGCTCTGCTCTCGTTTCACGGAAACTCAGAAGAACGAAGATGTCGAGGAGGCCATTACCCTTTGCCAACAATCATTGGCGGCTGTGTCTTCACTGCACCCGGACAGGTGTCTCAGCTACAGGTGGCTGCAGGAAGCCTATTTGTCTCGTTACCGAATTCTACACCAACTTGCTGATTTGACACTCGCTGTAGAGAACTTCAGACTAGCATCAGGACATGCCACACAAGGCTTTCCGGACCGTATCAAGGCAGTTTGGTACTGGGTTGCTGCAGCAGAGGCGTATAACCATGCATCTGGACTGGAGGCCTACACAACATTTTTCAACCTTTTTGACGGTTACTTGGCAACGCGATCATCGACAATTTCACGACGCGAAGCTGCTGCTGCCTTCTGTTATGCCAGATCGCTGCCAGTAGATGCAGCCTCATGTGCTATACGTCATGTCAATCTACAACGAGCAGTTGAGCTCGTGGAGCAGGGCCGTGGCCAGCAATGGTCGCTGGCATCGCGACTCAGGACTCCAGTTGAAGACCTCGAGTCAGCAAATCCAACACTGGCGTGCAACTATCTGGAGTCGAGCAAACTCATTTCTAATGCAGCCCAGAGTTCTGCAACCATCACCGATAGAGCTGCTGCTGATCGGGCAGCAACAGAGTATAGGACACTTACAAGGCAATGGGAAGACGTGGTAGCTGAAATACGCGATCTTCCGGCATTCTCGCGGTTTCTACTTCCACCTTCGTATGAAGACTTGCAAGCGGCAGCGCGCCAGGGCCCGGTCATCATCCTCATCGCGAGTCAATACTCATGCAGCGCCATCATCGTCACGACGTCAGGAGACCCTCATTATGTTCCTTTGCCGTCTATCGCTTTCGCAGATCTCAAGATTCTCAAGGATCGCTTCGCCAGGGAAATACGAGATTCATCTCAGATGAACCCACGGGAGTCGAGGACGGATCTCATAGTGCTCTCGCGGATAATATGGGACCAGATCATGCTACCCATCGTCGACGTACTCGAGCACGTCCTCAAACTACAGCGCCGCTCTCGAATCTGGCTGTGTCCCACTGCGGCTTTCACGTCCATTCCTCTCCATGCAGCTCACCCGTTTCAAACAAAAGCGGATCGTTCTGGAAAGGAGCCATGCCTCGAAGATATCTACATCTGCTCTTACACGCCGACACTTTCTGCTCTGATCAGATCTAGACAGTTGATGAAGAAGCGCAGTGTGCTGCCGTCCTTTGTGGCGATCGGACAGGGTCAACCGGGTGCAGGGAAAGGCAAGGCGCTGTTGGCCGTCGACAGCGAGCTCGAGCTTGTCCATAAGCTCGTCCCTGCCACGGCCAACCGCACCACTATTTCTGGCGACGAAGCCACACGAGCAGGTGCACTCGAAGCATTGCAGCAGAACACCTGGGTCCACCTTGCTTGTCATGGCAAGCAGGACCCTAAACAGCCTTACGATTCGCATTTTGTCATGAGAGACGAACATCTGACGCTGCTCGATATCATGGAGAGACATATTCCGCAGGCCGAGTTCGCGTTCTTATCGGCTTGTCACACTGCTGTAGGCGATGAGGAGACGCCCGACGAAGTGATCCACCTCGCAGCTGGTCTCCAGTTTTCAGGGTTCAAGAGCGTCATTGGCACGCTGTGGGAGGTCGACGATTCTGTCGCAAAACACGTCGTCGAAGCTTTTTACGGGTATATGTTTGGAGATTTGAAAAAGGGTGGCGTCATGGACTGTACGAGGGCGGCCTGGGCGCTCAACTGTGCTACGCACGCGGTGAAGACGAAAGTGCCGCTCGAGCAGAGGATGGTTTTTGTTCATATTGGTGTGTAGTCCTACGTCGTATTGCTGTCGTCTGGTATATATTCACATATTGTTTATCTGCTATCCTCTTTTATTATGTTGTACAAATGACCCTGATACATGTTCTTGCGCTCTAGCTATCTTGTTTTCATATACTCTGCAGTATTTTTTTTTTCGACTAGGATGTTCACCGAAGTTCTTGTATACCCGACTCATTTGCAACTTCGTCTGCTACTTGGGTACTTGGATAGTGGGAGTCCAATCAAGCCCACCACTGCGCCTTCGATTTTCACCCCTTCCGCCTCATCGAACCTCGACTAACCACAGCCAATCTAATTATATTTTCATGTTGTTGATCTGCGATCCTCTTGCATTCTGTTGTATAAATGACCCTGATGCATGTTCCTGCGCTCTAGCTATCTTGTTTTCGTATACTCTGCCATGTTTTTTTTTTTCGACCAGAATGTTCATTGATTAAAGTTCCTGTGTACTCGACTCGTTTGCAACTTCGTCTGCTACTTGGGTACTTAGATAGTGGGAGTTATGCCAGTCAAGCCTACCCGCGCCTTCAAGTTTCGCCCATTCTGCCTTGTCTGACCTCGACTAACCACAGCCAACGTCATTAATGCAATGCCGGTTAGAAGCCGAGTCAAGTCAGAAGCGAATCCCGGCTGGCTGCTTCGACTTGTGGCCCATATGTGTACTGCTTGCATTCGCTCAAATTAAATCAGACCTAATCTGCCCATGGAGCATGCACTTAGTATTGTGTCGTGTCGTGTCATGCTCAGGCCTACTTTGATTTCAGGCAAGATATAGCCTGTATTCAATATTCATTTCCTATGGTAAGCACGAATGATCTAAAATGTACGTGTACTTGTGAAGTGCTCGGCACCTCCTCGACTCATCCTCAAACCTACCTCCCGTTGACGTTATAACGAAGTAGTGGATTTTTTCTGTGATAGACGCATTCACTGAAGAACATTTCACTGCTGACTGACTTTCTGCATGGGACATCTTGTGGCTGATGTGCGTGCAGAAATTGTAGCTAGATATCAGAAAGGCTGTCAGTATTTAGGACAGATAGATTCGAAGAAATGCGTGTAGCTTTGTACATTGTGAGATCAGTAATACACCAAGCGGAACCTACCAAAGTGTCGTCTGTGCTCCCATCAAACATTGGTCCGCCTGCATCCAGCACCAAAATCAAGGAGCTCCAGAGTTAGTGACCACGTCCTCCAAAGCCAATGCGAAAGGGAACTCCCGCGTTCAATGCCCTCTCTACTCGCTATCCTTGTCTTGTCGTCTAGCATAACTTATTCGGTAATGCTCAACATCTGTCTTTTGCATCAATGCAGTATATTGTGGATGACGAAACTAGATGGTGACATACGGGCTAGGCGACCTCCAACGCTTTACAACTGGATGCCCGCGTGAGTCTTGTTTCGCATTGAACTTACCATGCAATACATGCAGGCCGAACCTACCGCAAAGTAAGCAGGGCACGCGTAAACCTCGTTGTAGGCAAGGACTCTCTGTAACCAAGCCCCAATGGTTAGTAAGACTCGTTTCGTATCAAATCCTATCGTGTTGACTCACGGCGTATTGTATACAGGGCAAATACTGTGAAATCGGACCTGTATGCAGAACCAGTTTAAAAAAATGTTAAATAGAATATAAGTAGCACTCCCAAGGGTGCAATGCAAATGTCCGTGTCAGGCGTATTGTCTATTGCGTGTCTGAGTCGGCGTGTGTGTTGGACTTGCGTGAAGTTCCGAAGTCCAAGGGTGACGAGTACCTGCGTGTATAGAAACAAGCACTCAAATTTCAGATACTGCAGGCATGATAGCTGAGTATAAGTGGGAACCGACGCGGAGTGAAACTCACCTTGATCAGAAATTATCGATGGACAACAAGGATGGGATGGGGAGGTATATGATTGTTTCATGGCGCGAGTCGCATGCGAAGTGACAACATGCCGAATGTGGTGTCGATGCGCTTGTTCGCACGTACAAATCACATTGATGACTCAGTCAATGGAATCACTGAGATGAAACCATTTACTTACCATCTAGTTGAACATTCCGACACCCAATACTCGAGTGACCGTACGGTTGTAGGGCCCCAAGATCATCTAGCACGAAGACCTTGGTCAGAACGCCTCGTTTGTGGATTGGCCCTCGGTGCTGAAACGGGTGTAAGTACCGTGACGGATTGCATCCAAAAGCACCCGTGGACACCACAAGGTCATGATCTCATCCTACCCTAGTGAAATATTCATGGGATGATATGACTCGAACGGCTGATCTCAGCGTCTTCTCGAGTCGACGCTGACGCATAAGTAAATGCCAGCGGGTGTACACGAGCAGGGAACGTTCATATTTTTTGCGCTGATGATTGTTGAGCATAAGGATCACGAAATGGGTACGGTGATATGCAATGACTCACCTTCAAGTCATCATACATGCTGGTGCGATGAAGGAAAACGAGGATCAAGGATGTGCCTAGTGGTAGGTGCAGTTATGAGTGAGGAGTATGAAAAGACGGGGGTAGGAGAAGAGGTGGGTGGTCCAGGTCTTATCGCGCGTGTATTTATGTTTGGCAAGATAGACGTGTGATTATACAAAGCGTTGAGAACAATGGCCAACTTGAAAATGTTAGCGCGAGAGTCTGTACATGCTAAAGAGGTGAGCAACGTCAAGAGCGAAAGTAGCACGCCAAGTCTGAAAGGAACATGCGCATCCTGTGAGGTTTGCTACTCCCGTACTTTTATCGCTGAGTCGTACCATTCACCCGGCACATAGTAAGGTGAGATGTGTATTTCATAGTAGAAATAATATAAACTGCTGAAAGGACGGGCAACAAAGTGGAAACACCAGCGAGGGATTGCCAGGGCTTGTCAAAAGTGATAGCGGAATGCGATGGACGATACTATGAGCGACGAGGAACATGATTGAGATCTGAGATCTGAGACCTGGAACAACAGTTAGAATGAGCAAATGGCAAGTCGAGCTTCAACTTGAAGTCGCCACACACCTAATATACACACGCTGCAAAAGTGGTCCGCAATGTGATTTTGTTGCGCAAAACCAACAGAAACAAGCTTGGAAAATATTCAGAATGCAAAAAGAGACAGTAAAAATGCCCCTTGCTTTCAAGAATTCCACGAGGTGCAGCGTCCTGCAGGATGAAGTGCATCAGCAAAAGTGGCGCAAGCTGACAAGGCCTCGGCAAATGCCGTAAGCCTTGCGTAGAGTTCCAAACATGGCTACAGGCCTTACGGGCGTCGTGCCAGGCATTGTAAGGCTCCCAGGTGTCACAAAGTAATGTTATAACCACGTCACTCGCACATGTATGTATGCAAGAATTATCAATACAATAGTAATGTAATATGATATTTCTTCCCTCACACGGCTGAAAGACAAGTCCTTCCAATGCATTCTAATACTCGGCATAGTCACCATAATCCTCTTCGGTATCCGCGGCACCCTCTCCGTCCTCAGCACCAAGAACGGCATCATCTAGTTCATCCTGCGAGCCTTCCTCTTCTGAGCTGTCATCTGATAACAACTGCTCCTCTAGGTTACCATAACCAAACTCACTGCGCTCGTCATCCAACACTGAACCATCCTTGTCATCATCAGCCTCTTCATCCGATTCCTCGTCTCCATCAATCAAATCTGTGTCGAACTCGTAAGTAGCACTCTGTAAGTTCTCTGCTTCTTCAAGCTCATCTTCCGACTCAGACCGGCTTCCTGTACAATCCATATGCTCCTCACTGGAACTGCTGATGCTGCGCATGTCTGCATCTGCCGGTGTGTCTCCACGATCATTGCTGGACTCTGAGTCGATGTCCTCATTCATCGGCGAACCTGGTATGTAAAACATACCGGTGCGCTCGCTTTCCTTCGTAAACGGCACTGAGTCAAGTGCATCTCGGTCCTTGTAGAAGCTTTCTGTCGCCTCTCGTGTGGTCTTATGTCCGACACCACCACCACGGAACCGCATGAACATGTCGCGGTCTACAAATCTAAAAAAAATGTAAGTCAGCCATTTGTTTTGCAAGTAAAAAAAACCACCGACTGGTTGACGTAGTACCAGCTATAATCTGTGTCACCTTCACAAGCCTGTCGAGCGATTGATGGAGGAAGAAGGTTTGCGGTGGACCCATGTGCGAATCCTGGGATCACATGGACACCACGAATCACTTGTGCAGGGTTGACAAATCCAAAAGCATCTGCTCCGACCTCGTTGGCATCATAAAACCCAATCCGGTGCAGCCGACGTGCAGCCCAGCCTGATTTATGATTAGAGTCTCGACAGAACCAGCGCACCCATAGGAAATCGACACGTCGTGAAGCCCGGTCATCAGAATCTGGACCAAGATACCTGGCATATACGTGAAAAATGCCGATAATGCGCGCATACCAATATGGGTGAGGAGTGAGTTCACCAGGTTCACTTTCCTCATTGCCTAGGAGCATGATGTCTGCATGTGTACGTGGATTGAGCGAATCTTGAGCTCTTCGAAGATCGTATGTCGTGTAGTTGACACGGAGTACTTTGTGTTTATAGATCTTATTGTCGAGGATGATGAGTGAGTTCCGCTGCGCAACAGTAAATGTGCGTTCCTCAGAATCATCATTACCAAGAAAACGAGTAAGAATATGGTCCTTGAGCCGCGGTAAAAAATCCTATGCAAAATCAGATAGACCAAAACCCACAGTGACTGATAGTTACCTTCACTGCAAGGTCCTCATGGTTCCTGTGCAGCCATGAAGTGATGTCCCAGTGTTGGCGGCGTGAGTTGGAGATCTGATACTGGGTCTCCGGAGAACACTGCGGCAATGACTCTGTTTCGGCAAAGCCAACTGAGGGAGAAGAATCTTCTGCATGGTTCAAGCGACCTTCAGCTCGTTGTGTGGCAGCCTTCTGTCGAATCTTGTGAAGGAGTCGTTCCCGGCGCTGCTGTTTTGCGATACCCCGTGCAATTTTGATCTTGTTAGTGCGTGCATAAAAGCGTTTCACACGGCGATGCTCCAGTTCACCCTGCAATCAAAACTAGAACCATGAATCAAGAGCGGAGATGTGTGTATTAGCGCACCACTTGTGTCGAAAAATTGT